ATAAAGTGCTGTTAAAAGGAAAGGTGATGTAACACCGTGGTAAACATGCTCCTGTCCCAACTTTTTGGAATGTGTTGCATGCATCAAATTTGCAACAAGCATATATTTACAAAAAAACAGTGAAGTTCATAAGGTAAAACATAAAATGGACATGTCAAATTCCACTAGCAGCACGTCTGATTAAATTTAATGAAGGACTGATTAGCTGAAGCAAGTACTAGATGGCAAGGAGAGGTTTGGAAATGGTCGAGCTAACACGCTAACACACAAACCACAATGCATTGTTTATTCTAAACTTAATGTTTTTTTCAAACAAATAAATGCTTACAGCCTGGATAAATACATTTTCTCATTCTTTGCGCAGCACCGTATGCTCTCCATTGTTTTCTGTCTTCCTTTAAGGCATTCACATTTTGATGAAGTTATATAAGTGCCTCATTAGTACAGAAGAGTCTGAAGTTATTATATCTTAACAAAAGGTGTGTGAAGGTAACTTTGTTCACCCTTTTTAATGAAACATTAAATATCTTAAACATTAAATAATGAAACATTAAATACCTTAGATACCCTAAGGCATGAGCACTTTGTTCTACACTGATTAATGCAGGAGCAGAATGCAGCCTGGGTTATGATAGCCTTATTACCGTGACAGTGCATACAGAGCTAGCCTGGTGAAAACTTAAACAATGTGTATATGTGTGAACCCCTTCTCTTATGCCTTATGCCTAAATGCATTATTGAAGGACAGGTAAGCGGGCAAGTTTTTCTGTAGCTGTAAGGAGTGAGGAGACATTTTCATTCCTTCCATGCAGTAGTCAATAAGTAAACTAGTCAGGCTCACCCTCTGGAGAACAGCTCGACGGCTTTGACGTGCATTCTCTCTCTGGGTGTGAGGTCCTGGGAGCTGGCCAGCTCCACTGTCCTCCTCACAGCGCTGGCCAGCTTCTCATCCTGCAGCACTGAACTGCCAGTGCCTACCAGCTGTAGTCCAGTGCTGATTACATGACCCATCACTACAGCACAGTGAGCATAAGATCACAGTGAGGAGCCTGAAGGTACTGTGTACTCAGTTAAATCTCATGACTGTGTGAACATTTGCCTGTAGCAGATAATAAATAATGGGAGAAATATATGTCCTTTTTTTCTAAAATTCCATCAAAGTAATGTCGGGACTATCGAAACAGCAAGGATTCAATTCATCCCCCAAGCTTGATCTGCATTATCACAGAGCTGCTCTGTTCATAGTCCATCTGAACACTGAGATTAGACTTAATGGAGCCACTTTCTCAGCACATACAAAGCTTCTCCAAACTCTACTCACGTACCAAAGTTTGGATCAGCTGCTTGGACTGCTGTCATACATCCCTCTATTCCTCCTAGTACCTCGTCATTACGCCAGGTTACATACTGACCACAAGCAAGGGCAGAAAATAATAACAAGAGGTTAGCTACTGAGAGAATGTGGCATACAGTCACGTACACTGTCTCTGTCTCTCTCCGCCCCCCCCTCTCCATTAATACAAATATAATCAGTCTATTTTCTCCACCTGTTTAAGTATGGCGTCGTATAATTTGCAGGCCTCATTGCTGGTGGTGGTCAGTGGGAGACCCTCTACCTCCCAAGCCTACAAACACAAACAAAATCAGTGAATAAAATCTGGTCCGCCGAGGATTCAAAGCGGTACACAAACCCGTGACCGCCTCATAACAGTCCGCCTTCTGGCAGAGAACAACTGAAGACATTTTCATTTAAGATTATTTCCTAAAACTGCAGCACTGAAAACTGTACTTCATAGCTGTCCTGTATGCAAGATAGTGAGACTGTAATCAGCAGTACGACCTCGAGAAAAGCTCCACCGGGCACACATTAACAAAAGACATGTAAACACGACCTACAGTAATAACAGTGTCAGGATCAGTCAGTCAGCTGGACTTCGCTAACTACAAAGCACGTCCTCTTTGTTGGCTGTAACGAAAACTCCAGAAAGCAGGCTAGCGTGTTTCTCCATTAACTGAATACATGTCTTACCTTACAGTCTCTAAAACTTGCAGCAAGCATCGCTGAAATATCTTTATTTTCTTACGAGCCCTGAAAAGTTCAACTTGACAGGAAAAAGCCTTTGGTGAAGAGGAGGGAGAAAAGGAAAAGCGGGCCCGGATTCCTCTCAGAGTGGCTTGAACTCGCTCTACCCTGCGATCAGAAAGGCTGGGCACTGCACGTTCACTCTGTTCCGTTTACGACAACTGGGAACTTTGACCTTTCAAACTGGGAGTTTGCTTCCCGCCTCAAAGCGTTCAACTTCAATTGACTGGGGTCTTATAACGTATCTAAAGATGACATGGACAACTATGCCTCCTCAGTTAAATATAAGTATTTGCTCAAAATCAGCTAAATTGATCAACATATATGGCGTCCGCCACGGCCTGAGGAGTTTGGGGGATGTGGCCACGCAAAGTGGCTCTTGGGAGGCGACACACTCCGGTAAGAAAATTACTGTTGCTGTTGTTGTTCTGTTGTTGTTTTAGTGTTTAGTGTAATTGTGACCGAGATGGTGTGTTACAGTGTGTTGAGTTTATCTGCCCTCCTGCTATGTCGTGTATGTCGGGATAATGCTGGGTATTTGTTATGATTAAGACAATTAAAGTGGAAATCTGACAACTAAATTTATTGGGGAAATAATAAAGCTGTATATGTTGCCAGTGAAGAATCTCAGAGTGATAGATGGAACCTATGGGTTTGAGGCTACTAGATGCATGTCTACAGATAACATCATCATAGTCCAGAATAGATAGTAAACTTGCCTCAATGATCCTTTGTTCTACTATGCATTAGGAAGCATGACTTAAAGCTCTTAGAGCATTTACTCTGGAGTTTTTTGGTGACTGCTTCATTTATTTAAAAGTGGCTGTAGGGCAGTTCTGTTAAGATAGAACAGATGATAAAAATGTGCAGTTTGATTAAATCTTGTACAAAGCGACCAGGGAGCACAGCCAGTGGGTGGCCAGGAGTAGCCAGTGTCACCCTAACATGAAGTATGGCCACACCTCTGGCAACCTCAGTTATGCAAAGTGGGACAGTCACACTGTAAAAAATGATAAGTCAGCTTTACTTAAAATTACAAGATAGCAGATTACACTGCTTTTCACAAATTAACTTGAGGACACTGGAGTTCATCCATCCGAAACTTCTTAAACTCAAAGTTCTTAAAGCGTTTTTTTTGGGCTTTCAGATATATGTTTAAAATTTAAAATAACAAATATTTTTCACTGAGTGTTAAAGATTTATGGACATCAAATTTGAGTAACTTCAGGTGGTCCTGAGTGGTGCAACAGACTAAGCCATTACACCAGCAATGAAAAAAAAGGTTCCAGCTAGTGGGAAAACTGAGTAAAAAACAAAAATATTTACCTAACTGAGATGCAGAACTAAAAAATTATGAGAAATTTTGACTTGACTAAGACATTTGAGTTAACTCAAGAAAAGCTGTGTAGTTACCTAACAGTTTTAAGTTGTGCTGAATTTCATTTTTAACAGTGCAGCCATGGGCAATGAATTGTGAAAAATTAGCCAGCTATAATTCTTTGTCCTATTAGCTAATTACTTTTTATAGTTGCATGCGTGTTTATTAATGAGTACAAATCCAGCACTAAGAATAAGCTCATGCTAATGCCACAGTAGGTTAGCTGTCACAGTCAAAGGTAATTCTCCCATAACATTACCTTACACTGTACTATCTGGCTAGCTTCATTATTATTAGACTCGTGCAACCAGTAGTGAGGGAAGTTCCCTCTATGGCCTCGTTCAGGGCTCACCAGTCTTATCCATGAGACGTGTGAAATTTTGTTCTTAACGTTAACAATGCACGGAAAAAAAAGAGATGCATTGAATTGACTTGAAGTGTCCAGTTTTATATCCAGATCTCTGTGTTGTAAAAGTCAAACTAAAATCAAAACAAACTATACAAAAGTTTGAACACCTCCAATCAACATATGTTTTGTTAATTTTCTACATGAAAGTAAGTTTCATCTTCTACAGGGAACAAAGCTAAATATGGTATTTTTCTGCTAATTCTAGTGCATGATTTCTATGTATTTGTTGAGCTTAAAATAAAAAAAACAACGCATATATTGTTATATTAAATTTAACCCATATATAACTTTTGCACAGGCCACATGTGACCCCTCCTCCATGTTAAATTGCTCAATAAAATGTGCGTTAAGAAGTGTTTTCTCTGCAGAGGATTTGTTCACTTATTTTCACTTAGAAAATCAACAAAACATAACTTGACCAGGGGCACCAAAACGTTCACCTCCGACTATACCTTTTTACTTTTTAAGTTAATGTGCCTATCCGTATTAAGCATGATTCATCAATTCCATACATTCATCATTTTTTTCTTTATCATAAATTCTTTTTTGTTTTCTCACAATCTTCAATGAAATGTTTGGCTTTTGCTTACCACTTTTGAAAAGTGTAGTGAAGTGATTTTTGGCTGAGACCATGCACCAGCTGAAGGAGAAAATTATTAACCAGTGATATCATGATTCAGCTTCTGATCCCATCGCACACAAGCCTGTAAGTCCATTGCAAAGCCATTTGAAAAACTGCAGACATGGCCGTGACTGGGCGAGATACTGCAGCCCCGGAGTTTGTAATGAGACTTTCCTTGATACAGCGTTTGATTTTGGAAATATGGCATAGTACACAAAGACAATGTGTAACGATTTCTGATTCACGCTGACTTGAACAAATGATAAAACATCTGAAATTAAAGTGCTGTAGCGATTAACTAAATTTCTACTTTTTTTAATAAGTCAGGAACTGTAGCACAAATGGTACACAAGAATTCAGCCTATTCCAGCACTTTCCAAAATTTCCAATGTGCATTTTTCATGTTCTGTCAGTCTCTGGTAATTCAAATTTGGGGCTAGGTTTTGGTTCTCAAGAATCTAACCAGAAATACTGAATCAAACAAACAATGTAAAAATCTTGCTAAAAATGAGGAACAAAAGCTCTTTTTTATTACCATTTCAACTTACATCCAACATCCTATATGCACATTAGCTACAGGAAGCATTTACAAGAGTTGACAACATACAAGTTTAAAAATTAGATTCCATTTTCTTTACATATAATACATGTTTTTTCCCAACACGTGTTAATAAATACCAATAAACTTAAACTCTGTAAAACAATTTACACAGTTTAAACAACTAGCCTTGAACTTGTGTAACTTTTCATTCACAGTCATGTTTACTTACAGAAATGTGTCCACCTATACAGCTCAAATGGTGCCAAAGCTGAAATGTACAGTTTGACAAAAGGCATACAAGTTGATTTGCGAAGTACATGAATATTTGCTGTTCTGTGACTAGCACAACTAACAAGAGCGTCTGCTGTATGTTAGTGATGTTTGAACACTTGTATTTAATACAAATGTATTTTTTATAAAAACAAATAAATAAAAAATAAGCCATGGAGGTGAGTAAAACCTTGTAGATCTGAAAATGGCTTGTAACATGTGAAAAAGGCATATTATTCCAAAGCCAGTGCAAGCGGTCCTCAGGCGTTTATCATCTCTGTCCCTGGTTGCTGATATTAGTATGAGAATGGGCAGCAGATTTACTTAATATTTCATCCTCTTACTTGTCAGAAACAAATGATGCAAATGATGTAACAGAGGTTTGTGATCCACTGATATGTCACATGTTGTGGATGCTAGAAATAATTAGAAAATGTTGATTCACAAATATCAGCAGTCTTACTGAATATTCTCTTTACATTAATATTTGTTCTTCCTTCCTACACTGTATTAATTAAGAATATCTGCATGATATTGCACTATTCCTGTAAACTGTAGTGTAACTACAAGAAAGTCATGTCTGATTAGTGATTGTAAACCGTTAAATAAGAAAAAGTAAGATCACTTGAGACCAAAGGGACAGCACTACAAGCTGCAACTGAGATGCTCCACTAAGAGTGTGTCAACACCTTTAATATGAGCTAAAGGCCATGTACTATATACAACAGAGGATATGTGACTTTGCTCTGAGACAACAGCATCTTGTCCTGATATGAGGTGGCTGATGGAAAAATCAAACAGAACTTTTCCCCATTCATTGTAGATATGTACCTGGACATTCTCTGCATTATTTGAACACAAAGAAATCCACTGCATGCTTTTTCTGTAAAACAAGTATAATAAATACATTATTTAACAGTTTCGACCATTCTAATCGATCACTGTAGCTGAATTGCTGCAGAATAATGTAATTGTCATAAGATGCTTATATTGCCTTGTTGATCACTTCTCCACATTGAACTGTGGAGTTTTGATTAGAAGCAAAGGCAGCTCTACTGTAGGGTGTTGCTACTTTCAGTCAGTAGTCAAAAGGCAGGTCGGGAAATGAAGTCCAAGTACCTCTCTGCTCTTCCAAAATACTCTTATGTAACAGGTGCTGAATGGGACCTTCTGAAATAAGCTGCATTGACTACTTTGTGTTCGGTCTGAAAAGTCTCTAAAACGTCCACATCATCCCCGTTGATTCCCTTTTCCTCAAAACCAAAAACAGCTTCGAAAAAAACCTTAAAAACAAATACAATCTTCAAAGTGAATTTTCTCTTCCAACAAGTATGGTAAAATATCTTGCAGAGAGACAAGGCCTTGGCTGTATTCCCAGTTGAGCGGAGCGAGTGACAGGTAGAGTGGCCAGCTCTGAGCCAAGCCAGGAGGACACGTAAACATTGTCGACTTGCTCATGAGAAGATGTGTTAACGTTACCCACTTGCCAAATGAACCGGCGCAAGAGAGACAGGCAGGTTTGACTAAGTCTTTACATTCCCTGCGGTGACTCCAAAGAGGATGCTCTGAAGAGGATGCGGGGTGGGCTGGCTACTGCTAAGCCCAGTTGAGGCTGAAACCCTTAGAGAGCATGACTGCCTCCAGGTCTTTGTCTTCCTCCTTTTCCCTGAGTCTCTGCTCCTCCAGGAGAGCCACCAGAGAGTCCCTCTGCTCCACCACCTCTAACATTTCATTCAGAATCTGCTTCTCCTCTGCCAGCTCTGCCTCTGTCTTCAGATGATCTGCAGGGAGAGACAATCAGAAGAAGAGTGAGATACAGAAAGACAAACAGTGCAACATGACATGAAAAAGGACATCAAGGACCCACTCCGAAAGATCATTATCAGTGCTAATCAGGGTTTATTTTAATGGAATGGTATCAGCTATATTAAGCTTGATCCAATTCTAATCCTTTGGAGGAGCTATTTTACCCTACTTCACTGTTTAGCATAGTCAGAGATGTTAAACTGCAGCAGAGACACATTTTCAGTAGTTAATAAGTGGTTTAAATATCTGCTGTATCTGCTATTTTAAAATGGAAAATATTACCACCTTCCACTTGCAAGATATATGCATGGTTAAACTAGTAAAATCTGAAACAGGCTATTACATATGTAGTAACAGTTGCTCAAGCTAATAAAACAAGTATTTTGTGCATGTTATAACACCAAAGTAATGTATTCAAATAACCAAAAATTAAATCTAAAGCAGATTTAACTGCAACATTTTAAAGTAACTGTCAGCCTAGCATATCTTACTTGAATTGTATTGGTTTTCCAACTTGTAAGGCTGTGTTACCTGCAAAAATGCTAATATCTGCAAATACTCAACATCTCTGGTTGAGATCAGGGCCAAAAATTTAGGGCATCTCTAAAAGATATCTCTAACACACGAGTTGAAACTTAGCTTGGCATTTTTTTTAGACTGACACACTTATGCAGAAGGATAAAAGGGGAAAAGTACCATCGACTGCCATGCGTTCTCTGAGTTCCTGCTGCAGTCGACTCTGCCTGTCCTCCAGCTCCAGCTCACGAGCACTGAGAAGAAGGAAGAACAAATGACTTAATACTTGATTCAATACTTCATTTCTCTCTGACACTACGAATATACTATGTCTAATCCATTCTAACGTAAATTCATATATCCATCAATTTATATCAAATCTGTTAGAACTCATGAACCATGCATAAGGATCCCTTGTCCAGTAACAAGATAAGCTCAAAGGCTTGCAGTGGAATTGGCTGATGATATACTTACAATATCATAAGCTCTGACTCATAGCGCACCAAGGCATTCTTCTCCTGGACCAGTTTAAACCATTCTTGCATCAGCTTCGGATCGTCCTTTTTACCCATTCCTGAAAAAGGCAAAGCATGAAAGAGTGAGGAGCTGTGTGGGAACTTAGCTTCTGACACAGAGATCTGACACGGACACCCACACAGCCAATGCAATGACAGCCAAGCCGGGATGTCTTGTCAGGGGATGTAGGGTTGGAGGGCTAGGGGAGGGGGGACTGGAGCAAGACCACTGACCCTGGGTCAAGTCTGCTGTTTAAATCACAGAAGATGGCGTGGAGATAGTTCTGATTTTGAAAGCACTTGAGCAACGTCATATCAGATGGAACTTCTAGGGCAATCTGTTCTTTTCAAGGCGGAGGATATAAAGCTTAAACTCTCATTACTCTTATGCAGGAACCGGGGATGCTGTCCATTTTATACTCTATTTCAAGTGTCTGTGTTATAAACACATGATGCACCCAGAGAAAAAAGATTAAATGAAAGTTAACTAGATGGATGTAATTTTCATTTTACTTTTTTCTCTGCCCAGGACTTTACAGTCTCAGCTTACAATGTATAATGTGATTTTTAACCCAAAAGCCTATTAGCAAAAAACAAGTCCTTTAAATGCTATTGTGGGTTAAGGCTTCTGTTCAACATTACTGATCCTATATTATACCAATGTGCATGTACTGTGCATGGGTAAAAAGAACATTGTGGCATGCAGCATCGAAATCCATGGCCAATGCAGACAGTCACTGGCTGCACTATTGGGCAACTGTACAAGTCAGTCCATGCTAGTACAGTCCTAACAGCCGGTGACATAGCCCCTTTTCCATCCCTTTCAGACACAGACTCTCTCTCATACACGCGCACACAGAAGACACACACATGCATACAGGTCTGTGGAGCCAAGCGGTGTCAATGAGCCATCACGAGGCAAACCTGGACGCAGCATGACATACTTAGCTGACGGAGCGGAGGCTCTTGCAACACAAAAGGGAAAAACACAGTACACACATAAATCGAATGGCTTTGCTCGCTGGCGCTGTCTTTGGCTGTTTTAACACAGAGAGGCAAAGCAAAGTTCCTCAGACACAGGAACAATGTGAGACAGAGAGAGAGAGAGAGAGACAGACAGAGAAAAAGAGAGAGACAATGATTGACAGGTTTTTGGAGGCTCAACTTATCCAACGGACACGCACTGCCAGAGGCCTCCACCACACTCATCCCCATGCTCCCCCAAAGAAGAGACACAGAGAGGAAACCCAGAGAGAAAACCACAGTTAGCACAGTCTCAGAGCAGCCACACCAACACACAGGCTGGCTTGATTAACAGAACACACACACACACTCACAATACAGCTATTCTTTAGTTAAAAAGTCTCAAATGAGGAATCTTTGTGCTTGTATATGTAGGCCTTAGGGATGCAAATTCTGGCAAATTTCGCTGATCAATAGTTAACTGGCAGGCCTAAAATCAAGGACGTGACGCAACCCATCAAAATAACAATTATAAAACGGATAGGTCTTGTACTGAAATCTGATTGGCTAAGCCACATTTGAAGCCATTGTAAAATACTTGACGTGCACACTGAGAATAACAACTGAATTCTGTATTACTGTACAGGTGGAACCAGGTATCAGAGTGTATATGAAGAAAACTGCCTGAAACTACATTTAACATATTCTATGAACCAGGTTCTGTTTAAACTGAGGAGCTGACAACTATACGTTCATGACTGTATGAACAAAACTAACAAGTTGACAAAGTGACTGGAATATACAATGATGTACTACTAGAAGTTCTATGTTCTGAAGTTACGTTTACCCATTACTAGACCAATTTAATTAATAATTAACAAACATAACTGCCATGACCAGGTCTAGCTTTGGCTCAATGTACCTCAATAGCTCTCGAAAGCTATCACTGTCTACCACATCCTTCTCTATAATTTTACACACCCATGTGTGATTTCTTCACACTGCTGTGCATCACGCTTTCCCTTGGGGAACATGAACATAATTGTCTGTCTTATCTCTTTCTTGTTTTCGATATGGTACGTTGTTGTAGTTCTGCTATCGTCAACTCAAAAATGGACCCGAACACCACTATTTTTAGCTGTGTGCTTCAGTTTTTAGTAGGCCTATCTGGCAAAACCAGCTGCCTATTATGCCCTCACTTATACAATTGAAAAACGTTTTTTCACCCTGAATTATAAACCCACTAATTCAAATGGGAACTACTGTTTATTGGAAATAACATAAAATTAACGTTTATTGAACTGAAATCACCGGTTGAGCAATTGATTATTTGTTGGTCAGCAGTTAATTGGTTTATCATTTACATCCCTAGTAGGCCTATATGTCTAAAAATGACCTCCCTGATGTAAACAAGCTGTAAAACTTTACAGAGGGGTACTTCACAAAGTAGTTAGCTAAACAACTTAAGTCCAAATTTAGTTATTATTAGTTATAACTGAATGCAATAGGAGAAAAAGTGACTTAAGTTATGCAGCTAACTAAGAAATCCTGCTTTGTGAAACACTCCTCCCAAAGTTTCCCTTTCTCACTAACAAATATATGTTTAAATATTGTACAAAATCATCCATGTGTTATGGGCTGCACACGCACCAACACACAGTTAAAAGAGGCTACAATGGACAGTTACAACAAACAGCCGTTCAGAACAGGCTTTAGGGGGATGACACACCACATGGACCATTTTTGTTTAGTTCTACGGCAAACAGCAAACCATGCTGTTGGTTAAATTCACACATTAATCAGAGCAGTTTCCTAGTAAACCCGGAGCCGGTCGTATGTGTTATAAAGGTGATGAAACTAGGGATGCTGCTCTTTTTAAATGAAATACTCTGAAAGAGATTTTTTACGAAATGGGGGGGGCTTGTAAGATGAAGGGGAGGAGCAATGCTCCAAGGGTTCGGAGCAGGTAGTCAGAGGCCGCAGGCCAGGTTGTCACGGTAACAGGGTTGGCCAGCGTCAGGCGAGACGGGGTTTACGTTACCTTCTGGGGTACAGCATGGGCAGAAGGACAGGGGTCTCCAGCGAGGGGTCCCGACATAGGGCTCAACTTCCACAATACAGGGAACAAGAGAAAGAAAGGATGGAAGAGTGGTGGAGGTGATAAAAGGAGGGAGGTGAAGGGAGGGGAAGGTAGGGAGAAGGAAAAAAACAGGGTCAGTGTAAAAGAGAGGGGAGGGAGAGATGAGGGAGAGAGAACAGTGAGGAGAAAAATCAAAAAAGCAAGAGACCTAGGGGGAAGAAACTCAGCAGCAGTGTAGTGGTGTGCGTGTGGGTGAAAGAGAGAGAGAGCGAGAAAGAGGAAAAAAAAGATGGAGACTGAGAGAAAGCGTGAGAGAGAGAGGGGGGAATGAGCAAGAGTGAAATACTGAAAGAAATACTAGAAAAGAATTTAGCAGTAAATAATACAGCCCTGCTTCGAATTTTCTACTGTGCTGGTGAAACATTTAAAAAAGTGAGACTGACTCGAGACTATGAGTTTATGTCTATAAATGCCCTGTCCCAAAGATCAAAGAACTTTGGATGTGCTCTATACTAATATGCTCAACATGTTCTCCGAAGTAAGTTACCCAGACAGGTAAGTTGTGGACACGTGAGACTAAAATGAACACGAAAGGAATGGGTGTGTAATCACCATTCCAACTTTGAGGATGCTTCTGTTCTATATGAAAGCATCCAGTCTTACGAGACTTTGCTCTGGCTACTTTGAAGTGTAAAGCAGGATTCGACACACCACGCAAGTCAAAAGAAATCAAGAATGACGAAAAAAGAAAATGAAATCTAAAGTTCAACGCGATGACTGAAACATGAGTGCAGCGGTAGGTGTGGTGGAGGTGGTCTGCAAGAGGCAAACAAAGGAATCAAAGCCAAGAGAATGTGGCCTCATGGACTAACACTGGGATGACTTGCATAAGCAAATGTGGAATGTCGGAACAAGGGACTATCAGAGAGGTGACAGCGGCTGAGTGTGTGGTATGCTAAATCTGAGATGCTGCAGTTAGCTCCAAAGAGGCCAAGGCACTGTCAGCCAATATTGTATCTTATCAGTGAGGTAGTTAAACTTTGTGTCATGTCAGGATATACAATGTGCTATGTCAGGGTATGCAATCTCTCGCTTATGTCACGCTTAACTTGAATTACATACCTGTATCGATTACAACTGAAAATTGCTATTGAGAGCTGCATGGCCCTTTGGAGATGGAGTGGTCAGTGCTCTATCCATCTTTGGATCTCACTGTTATTACAATCAACAAGCACTTATTCTAATTCAGATATGTTAGGGGTGGCCTGTACTAGTCCTGGAGGGCTTTAGTCCAGCACAGATTGGGGTTTTCCTTGTTCAAATAAACCTGATTCAAATTTTCACACTCAAATCCTAGGGCATCATAGGCATACCTTTACCAGTAATGTTCAGGCTTTGCACCATTCAATCTTGCAGCCCTTAAATGCTGTTTTACAAAGATACACACATTCACTGCCTCAGTACTGGCTAAATACTTGTCACCTAAAATGGTTAGTTCATTAAACATCAAATAGTAAGTTAACAGAACAATAATCGGTCTTTCATTGTGTTATGTAAACCAGAGATGCATCTAAATTTCCACCACCAAAAGTTTTTGGCCAACAATGGTCAAAATGGGCACTTGTGGTTTTCAGCTGACTGGAAAAAAGGAAAACATTAAACTGACCTGCAATGATGTGTCAACATTGAAGATTTCACAAATAATTTTAATGGTAATAAAAATTAGAAAAATGTTTCTTTGCTCTCCTGGGCTGGTCAGTGATTTGTGATCACTTGATCAAGAGGCCAAAAATGGCCAAAGACTTGTACATTACAGGTTTGATACACCATTTAAAAACATAACATCCTGCTCATTATGCAGAGTACAGCAAAACAACAGAAACAGAAACAGAAAGAGGCATGGCAATGCCATCTGTAGCCACAATTTCTAAAATGAAGGACAAAGTGCAAAGTATAACTAGGAAATAATGAAATTCACTGCCTTAGATGACCAACCACTCCCTGTAGTCAAGGACATTGGAGTTTGCGGCACATACCGTAAAGGTTTATTTTATGTAGACTCTTTACTGTCAGCTTTTTTTTTTGGTTACAGTTTTTAACCCGGTGTGTCCCGCATTCCAGTTTTGGCCAAAAACATTTATTTCAGTGTATCACTAAGGTAAATGCATCTGATGCTCAATCAACTTAAAATTTAAAGTGAGCTATGTTACTCACTGTGTTAAAGTTCAAACAAAACAGTCAAAAAAAGTTTTTTTTTAGTAAAAATTTAACTGTTCATTTTAGATTTTCTTCCTGCTGTGATTTCACTGTGCTAATGTTTCAAATAACTCTCCTCAAACGGATAATTACATAAAGATGTCATCCTCTTTCCTGGTAAACCAAGCCATGCTGGACTCCAGGCCCTACAGGACCAGCACTGGATATGCAGATAACCCACTTTCATATAACCAGGCCAAACTCAACTATATTGATACCAGAATTCAGAAAAGACATGACCAAAATCTATAACCATCCATAGACAGGTCTCTCCAAAGATCAATATTTTGGACTGTGATGGACTGACATTGCATAGTACACAATGATCAGTACGTGATATGCCAGTGAATATTATTGATTATGGCCTACAGAGACGTTAACTATGCTTCTTACTTTCAACTTTTTAGAGCTGTGTTTTTGAGAAACCCACTTATTCTCAAAAACAGCCCACTGATTGTAAAAAAAAACTGAACCTAACTTAAGAATGCCAGCCACTCGCATGCATCCAAACAAGAGAAGTACATAACTAACTTAAGATCTATTCCCCTCCGGGCAGCTTCACGTCTCCAACTAACAAAAGCCTAGAGATTTAGTATAACTGCCTGTCTTATAAAGGGTATGTTGTGTTTGAACTACTACATACTGCCTGCAGTTTATACCTACCTGTTGGTGGATTAAGTTTGTTACAGACAATGATTACACAGTGAGAGTAACACACATGATAAACATTCTTCACACATGCAGATGCCAATAACTTCGCTTCTAAATCACCAGTTGCAAAAGAAGTTGCATCACATGCTACAGGCTTCAAAAAATTTTATATGTGATTTCACTGCAATGAAAAAGTCAATACTTGGAAAACGAAAACAAGCCGTTATTGCCCTGTGCACACAAGAGATGGTTTCATTTCTTTTTTTCCCCCATTTTTTGATTTGGTTTTGGTTGAAATAGAACTCCACGCTATCTCCTGGCAATGTGGATGTCTAAAGCATAGCTTACCAGCAAAATAACACAACAACAGTCTACAACACACCACAGGACAACACGTTCAATCACTGAAGCACTATTCAGAGGGTCCATGTGGATTTGGGCGGGGCACAGAGAAGAAGAGGAGGAGTCTGGGTGGAGTAATATGGAAAAGAGCTCTGAACTCTGGCCTTCATATACACACACGCACACACACGCACACACTCTCGTGTGCATACACAAAATCACGCATGGCCCTGGGCAACTGAGCAGGTATGGGAGGAGAGATAGTGAGGGGAGAGAGCTCAATGCTAGGCTAAAGCAGACAGCCAGCTGCACTACAAAGGCCAGGGAGAAGTGCAAAAGCTGTTTAGTAGTTTAATCTACAAAGTAATTAAAAGTAAGCTTAAAAAAACAAGCACCCAAATTGCAGTTATAAGCTGTATAATTAAAAAAGTTGGGCCTAGTTTAGCTGCCCCCAAGCAATCAAAAAAGCAATTTAAGGGCAGTTGCAACTAATCAACACTTCTTGAAGTCAATTGCAATTAATCACATCAATGTCTTTATTGTTTTTAGTAGTTCAATAACATTATCTTACTCATGTGAATGCATGGTTCACATGAACCTGAACATAAAAATTAAGCGAGTGGGTAACACTGCTGCCCTCCTCGTAGCAGACTAGGGTTCAACTCCCTCTTTGGTCATAAACATCATGCTATACCGATAACAGTCCATGGGAAAGACTCCTAACACTACATTCGCCTACGTGAATGATTAAAATTGTAAGTCACTCTGCGTAAGAGCATCTGCCAAATTATAAACGTCTATATCATATTTAGTCAAAAGTTCCAACTCCTCTGTGATTGCAGCCTTTTGTTCTTGTTCATACAGCTCATGTATTGTTGCTACGATGGGGCTCTCGAGGGGAACTGTAGCTTTCCACTTTGCTTTTGTTAGTTTGCTGCTTGTTGATTTAACCATAGGAAGCACTGACCAGCGTAGTCTGCCAAAAGTATTGCTTTAAAAGGCATTTTCTGCATTGTATTTGAAACAAAGGGCTACAATTGTGGACAATATCACAGCAGCGCTAAAAATGTTACGTTTATAAATACATTAACTTTCACAGCCCTACATGTTTATCAGCTGACATCTTTGTTACAGGCACTGAAATATGCATATAAAATATAAAATAACTACCTTTTTAGAAAGCTCTGCAAATTCCTAACATGCTTCTCTGTGTGAAATGCGCTGTGGTGTAGAGAAGCCATAATGGGCTAGGGGGAGGGTTGGAGCGGGACAGAGTAATGGGGACGAGCTTCAGTAAGTACAGTGGGGAAAACAGAGGTGTGTTAGCTGTTGGTTAGTTTGAAGCGACAGGTTTGAAATACATACCGCCCAGATGCAAGTCCAGGATCTCACTGTAATTAGACTCTCCCCAATAGTCTACAATAAGGATATATTAGAGATATGTTACTGCACACACACAGGCACGGCTAGTGGCAACACTCTGCAAGTACATCATGCATGTGCTTGAACACAAACACACCCACACACCTCTTACACTGTCAAGTGCGCAGAATACAGAATACACTTACTCAAAACAACGTTATATAATAACACGTGGTTAAATACAGACATTGTATGTACACAGCATGTCTTTGGAATGATATAATGGGCACATAGATTTGCTGCTGTGTGCTGCTGTGCCCTGCCACAGGCTCTGGAGTGGGAATGAGTTCAAAATCAACTAGTTCAGTGTCCATCCATTCAAACTGACCACTAAAAATGTGACAAAAGAAATCTCCCAACAAGAAGCAACAAGTTAAGAACATTTTTTTCCGTCTCCTATATTACTTTTTAAAGATAAGGTTTGGTTATAAAAGCAGTGATATACAATGTTAAAAGTCCCTGTATTTGATGAGTGTTTGCCTGCTATGTTGCAAACATAATTTACAGTGTATGAGAAATGGAAATATAAAATATTTCAGGAACACTTTATTGAAGAGTAGCATTTGTAATGCTACGTGATACTGACATAAGCCTTTGACAACTGACACAGTTTTTAAAGGATTGTTGCAACAAGTGTCAGTTATGTCTGTGATGCTTTTGTCAGTTTTGATGTCATTTCACCGCAGAAAGTGCAACAACCATTGATGTTTGTTGGAAGAAGCCCTTATAAAGGTTTATGCACATTTATGTCAGCTGTCATGAAGCTACATGTAAGTTTCATGTAGCCTTATTAAAGCTGCCTTTCAGTAAAGTGTTGTCAAAATGTCTATGCTGGTCACTGTAATAAAAATCCAGAATATTGCATTCTGTGAACCGTAAGTCAATTGACTTTCCCACATCCAGTGAGAGGGCACACAAATCTATGTTAGACACACAATCAGTTTCACGGCCATGCAGCTAAAACACACACGAGGAGAAACCAGGAGAGATGATGTTTGAAATGTGGTTACAGATGACGACTTTAAACACCTACTACCATTATCGGCATTGGATACCTGAGCGCCTCTTACGCTGTTTTGGACTAACACTAGAACCTTTATATAACCCTTAAAGAGAGTGAAGGATAGAGAGGTTAAGAAGCATCTTGAGAGATTCAATTTTAAAAAGGAAAAAAAAAACACTACTTTCAGTGATGGGATGGACAGGGGAGGGACAAAAGTGGGAGCAAAATGATCATAAAGACCAATCCAGGTGATACTGTTCGCTAACATCTAATGCTACCCTGATCATCACAGATAGCTGAAAATCTTGCTTGCTGAACATCTACAGCTTCATTTTACCTTTACTATCTTTTGCAACACATAAATACGCGGCTTTTGAAATAGGCCTCACAAAACCACAAAGGCTAAACACTTCCTTACAGTCTGACCACTTAATGAACTTCATAAACAAGGGGTCTCAAACTACTGGCCCAGAGGCCACATCCAGCTTGTGAGACCGCTTCCTATGGCCCGTCATGTTTACAATTTATCCTAAAATCTGGCCTTCAAAACTTTTTTATTTTTATTTATTTTTTTTTCTGCAAATAAATATTTACATCTGCTTCACCCACCAGACTATATGCCTGGTTACCCAACATATCAGCTTAGGCTGACAATGTTAAAAGGGGGAAAAAAAGCGCAGCCTACAAGAAAAATTCTTCAAACGAAAACCTCACACAGCACGAACACTGCACATTGAGCGAGCATGGTTGTAATTTAGCAACAGCTAACTTAGCTATTATTCTAATTCAGTTGGTTAAACCTTCCTCAGAATTGTGAAATTAATTATCAAACTAATCCACTGAGAATACAGATTTAACCACTTGTTTTGCAACATTGTCAATAACTTTACTTGCATTTGCTCTGTTTTCATACCAATACTACTACAACTACTTATAATAAAAAAAAAATTACTCTTGCTATTATATGATAGTCAATTATAATGGTAGTAGTAGATGCAGTATTTATGATTTTTTCTAATAAATATAAACTAAGATGACCATAAATCAGTGTGTATGTTATGTAGTTAATTCATACTTATTATAATCGATTTTCTAAATATTTAATTTCTAACATAATGTTGACGGAACGCAAAGGGCGGAACTTGGAAGTGCGTAAGTGCAGCGCCCGGACAGTCTGTGGCGGCACATAACAAAAACACAACTGGATGAGCGAGAAATCCGACCATCTCCCTCTGCACTAAAAGCCAGGTCAGGTCAGGAGTCACAACCCAAATGTTAAGAAGAGACATTTTGACCTTTCAACAAAAATCAAACTACCTTGGGAGCCACAACATTTAATGTCCAGTATGTCTCAGTATGTGTTAATGTCCTAGTAGACTAAACAATATAAACGAAAACGCGGACTTACTCTACTCTGCTTTAAGCTTTAGCTATAGCCGCTTTTCTTCCATCTCCGCCAGAAAACCTTTCCTTAAAGATTTGAATAGTTTCTTGTAAAATGTCTCTCAGCTTTTGGCTGTTTTACAAGGCTGAAGTCGCTTTTCATTCTCCAGCTTCTTGCTGAACTTTCCCGTTCCACCTTAAATTCTGCCTTAATGCGGCACCATTTAAGGTGGAACAGGAAAATTAGAAAGAGATGCGACTTCATCTTCGCAACTTTTTAGTGTTGACAGTCTCTCGTTGCAGATTTAACGTATCAGGAAATCAACTGCGCTGCTTATAAATGCGAATAAGTCCATTCATCTCCAAATGTTCGTCTGTCTTTCTCTTTTCCTTTTTCGTTCGCAACTAGCTCGGCGAAACCTCGTTGCTAGGTGACCTGCAGTCTGCACGCCAATTCTCAGTCGTTGAGAAACAGGGCTTCCGCACTATGTTGCCTTTTTTTAGGATAAAATTCATACTTATTTTATATTAGGGGTTGGAATCTCTAGGCACCTCACGATTCGATTCGATTACGATTCAGAGGGCTGCGATGCGATTATAAAACGATTATCGATGCATCTCGATGCATCTTTTTTTTCTCTATACATTTTTATTTCTATTTTCTTACTGTCTGAGGACTTGGTACTTTTAAAACAAAGTATTTGTAATGATCCATAATGCATTTATGTCCAATATCTCTTATTAATAAATCAAATGGAAGTGATGTGGCAAGTGAACTGGAAGGCTCTCATTCAGTGCTCTTGTTTGGAGACGCTGCTGCCACTCATCTGCGATAAAATGCGCTGTTACGGTGAAATAAGATCCAGTGGTGATGGAGGACCACGCAGCACATTATAGCCGTCCTACCTGTTTTCTTTAGTGATTTTATACCTTCGGTATAAAGCTGAGAGACATTTTACAAGAAACTATTCAAATTTTTAAGGATAGGTTTTCTGGCGGAGATGGAAGAAAAGCGGCTATAGCTAAAGCTTAAAGCAGAGTAGAGTAAGTCCGCGTTTTCGTTTATATTGTTTAGTCTACTAGGACATTAACACACACTGAGACATACTGGACATTAAATGTTGTGGCTCCCAAGGTGGTTTGATTTTTGTTGAAAGGTCAAAATGTCTCTTCTTAACATCCTGACCTGACCTGGCTTTTAATGCAGAGGGAGACGGTCGGATTTCTCGCTCATCCAGTTGTGTTTTTGTTATGTGCCGCCACAGACTGTCCGGGCGCTGCACTTCCGCACTTCCAAGTTCCGCCTTTTGCGTTCCGTCAACATTACGTTATAAATTAAATATTTAGAAAATCTATTTTTGACGTTGAATGAATTGATTCAGAATCGTTCACGTCCACATCGCGATGCATCTAAGAATCGATTTTTTCCCCACACCCCTAATATATATATATATATATATATATATATATATATATATATATATATATATATATATATAAAAATAAAAGACCATTATTTAAGTTTGAGACCCCCGTCATATACCAAGGTTGGAGAAGACAGCTAAATCTAACTTTGCATCAAAGTATGTTCTTGATAGTCCCTTGTAATGTGCTTCTCAAACATGAGTTGTATATGAGGAACATATAAAGTATGAGTCAAGCTGCAATGAGACTTAAAAGCAGCAACTTCTCACTTCAACACAAAGGTTCACTTCCACACTGTCTACTGCATCTGCATGGGATGAGGAGCTCAGCAGATGCTCTGAGCTCAGCAGATGAACAAGTCTAGTTACTGTTTTGAAACAGATCACACAGGTTTAATATTTTTTACCTAGTGATCTGTTTAATGATTAGTGCCCTATCCCTGAGCTATGTGAAGCTTAATACAAACACCAAAAGCATAAAACATTTTAGCAAAACTATTTATAAGCAAAGCAACTGAACACCAACCAATGACATGTGCAAAAGGAGAAAGCAATGTGCTTTCATTTCTTCTCATTCTTTTATCTGCACTGACGTTTGTAGCTGAAGTTCAAAACTACTTTGAACATATCACACAGCTGAACTGCCAGTTGTGTCGGTAAGAATTCCTCTCCAGCTAGAACGATCAGAGACATGATTAAACTCTCCCTAGCATGTACAGAGAGGGTAAAAGTGATGAAAGAATGAAAGTTATGAAGTACCTGCTTCCCCTCGCAGTGCTTTCTCCACAGCCACTCCTCTCTCTTCCAGCTGCCTCTGTTTCTCCTCCACCTGCTCCAGCTGTCTCTGAATGATCTGAGGGGAAGAAACAATCCCATAATGAAGGCTCTCGCTTGTTCAGAATTGTGGAGAATGCCTAATTTCCCATTTATTTTCCTGCTGTCTACATCTGTAGATTCATCAGCACAGTCTCACTTGAGCCCTGTGGAGTCTCTTCAGCTCCTCCTGCTTGGCCTGTCGACGGGCTGCCTTCTGGACCCTCCGTGTCAGCTTGGCATTTAACTCTTCTTCGGTGTACGTCTTCTGCAAAAAGAAAACAAAACATGAGTCCCAAAATAGAAACAACCTGGACCTTGAGGAAGTTTAAACAGAGTAGGATGAAAAGACGGGTTGATTCTGTATTTTTACAGAGCTAATCTATGACTGTTCATTTTCTACACAAATACAGCAACATCTGAACCAAACAGCTACAACAGCACCACAATATATTCAACTACAGGAATATAACCAGCCTTTTTTAGTTTTTATGCATTTGTATATACCTGACCATATACATGGTATCACAAGGAGATCTTTATTTAAAAGAAATGTTGTGCTGTGCAAAAACACCATACAGGCCAAACGTGCCCTAAATCCTTTCTTTGCACAGCAAGTTTTGCAAATAAAGACGAACAGACAGAAAGAAAACAAAAGGCAAGTCTGAAGAGAGGTGATGTTTGTGGAATCCGTATGGATTCAGCAACTGCTAAGGACCCAAAAAGCAAATATGAACCAGTGAAGTACAGCGCAGAATAAGATCAGCTGGAAAGCCGTTTGAGAAAAATGTCATGTGACCACAGAGGCAGATAAATCCTCCAGCAGAAAGGGGGTACTGCAGCCTAGCTGAGTCATGCTTATGAAAGAAACCATTAGTAGTACAGTAATGGAGGAACACATGGACCACAGTAGACAAAGGTTAGGAGGTAGACTGAAGCATGCTCAGAACGGGTGGACCAATGGGAATAAACACACTACCTTTGTGGCATATGATCTCTTGAACGCCAATGCGTGAGGAACATAAACAGACTTCGTGGGGGAAAAATAAAAAGATAAAACACGAACAATGAAATAAACACAAAACAAATGGTGTGATTGAATGGGTTAATGTACAGTTAAATCAAATCAATCTACGACAACACAAAAAATAAAAAAATGAATAAAACAGAACCAAACATTTACTCATGCTAGTTTCCCCTGAGTCAACTACACTAAAGCCTGACCAATACATTAGTTGGTCAAAGATAAAACCAATAAATTAGCACCTTTTATAATAAACTGCACCCAAACCTTTAGCATGAGAATAACATGTTATAACTCTAAAACTTTATTAGAAAGAAAACTACAGAAAATAAGAACAATCAGAGGTGAACAAAATCAACAGCACTTTGGGTACCTCTGCCTCCAAGACTTTTTACTTTAAGTTTCTGTTGTTTAATTGAGATTTAGAATTGTGATAATTCAGACCTGAAAATCATGCAGTCAGAAAAGCCCTGGTTAACTAAAACTATTCAAAAAAATTCAAATTTAAAACAAATATGAAATTATAATCAGCCAGTATTATTGGTTATCAGAATTTTTTGGCATCTAAAATCTGTATCCATCAATTTTCATATTGTTCAATCCCTATAATGTACAAAATTCAGAGCGTTTTTCTTGCACCATTATTGTTTTGTCTTTTCTTTTCATACTGCCTTCATGACCAAGTGAGAACTGGCTGTTTCTGAATTTCAAGTACAAAAAAACATCCATTTAAACTCATAATTTCCACACGGAGAAGTCTAAGCTTGTTTTAAGCTTATGTTGATGTTTGTATATATGTTATTTGTACATGATACTGCTAAATACAGCGTGATACAGGAATCACTGCATACGTTTTTAATAACAAACTCTGTGCCTTCTTGTCCAATTCTTCATTATATTAACAGTTGCCATAGCCTACATTCACTTTTAAAATAAATGAAGTACTAACTAGCAACTCTCTAGCTCCAGTGTAAACACTTTTTACAAGTTTTTTACACCAATATCAGCAAAACGAGCACTAGATTGCTTTGAGTGGCTGTATTTTTATGGGGACTCAGAATCTGAATTCAAAGTCCGAGTTCCCAGTTGTTGTGAACGCAGTATAACACACCCATGTCCAATATAAACAGGCTCAGTATTGTAATAAGCTGAAGAGGGTGTGTGTGAGAAGCCACCCACATATACCCAAAACCAGTAAAGTACATCCTAAGAAGACTGAGGAAAAGGAAGTCACTCAACTACACACCTGCTACAACACAATTCACCACTGCAGAAACTCTACTAACCTAAGATTTTCTAATGAACTATCAATACCACAAACTTTCCATAGAGAGCCTAGCACTGACTGACTTGCAGCATCAGATCTAAAGGGCCAGATGAGCAGTGTTCAGTGCATAACATGTATTTCCTAAATGTGTGGATGCTATCACCGGTATGTTAACACAGCAATAGCAGGGCTGGACATTTTTGCTTTTCTGCGGTACCTTTTCAGTATTTGGAAATGCATTAATGCATCTGGCCCTAGTCCTACTTTCTGATTTCTACACAAACACATACACACTGAAGATCCTGAATTTCTATTATGAATGCAACTCAAAATGGCAGAGTATACGATCAGTGTAAATGTAAATGAAGAGAAATGTAGATCCTGAATAACAGTCTCAAAAGGAGCTGATGACCTATATTTTGTTGCATTCAATTACATTAGAAATTCATTAGCTTCAAATACTTTTACTGCATAATATGGAAATACCTCCTCCTCTCCTTTATCGTGTTCCATGTCCATCATTTTCTCCATCAAGTTAATTCTTTCCATTTCATTCATTCTTCTTTTGTTCCTTCTCACCTTTGATTTTTCCTTGCTCCTCCCCTTCCCCCTCTCTCTATGCCTCACCCTTTCCTTATCTTTTTCCTTCTCCTCCTTCATAATATCTTTTTTCAAATCTGACACTAGATCGAACAAGTCCATATGTCGCTATGGAAGGCAAAACATGAAATTAATGTAAGAGACCACCATAAAAAACAGTATTTTCAACAAACCATTTCCATAAATAATAGATAAACTTACGTCTGCCTTGGACTTCTGAGAAGACCTCTCTAGAACATCATCACAGGAAAGATCAGAGTCCTCAGAAAAGCTGAGGTTTCTTCTCAAACGCAAATCTAACAAATATCAAAGAGATATTGAAACAGAATTTAAGACCATTTAAAAGGCCACAGATTAGATGGTGTTTGATGTAAAGCAAAGTAGAAACAAACTGCTATATCTGCTATACCACTTGCTATGTCAATGACATTCCTACACACCTGAAGATCTGGCCATAGGTGATGCTTTCTTCACTCCGGAGTCTGCAGTTGTAGAGCTAGACGGCGTGCTGGGACAAGATTTGTCATCTTTTTTCTTTTTGTCTTTCTTGTACCCAGAGAACACAGCCTTCCATAAGGACTTGTGTTTGGGAGGCGTTTCTTCAGTACCGGAGAGCCTGCTTTCATTCTTGGCCTTCTTCTCTTTCTTGTTCTTGCGTGGAGAGAAAAGTGAGCTGCGCTTCTTACTCTTGGCCCCTGTGGAGCTTTCAGAAGAGGTGACGGAGCTCTCCAAACTCTTGTTTAATGGTGAGGTGAAAATACGGTCAGGAAGTGTCTCTGCTTGCTTCTTAGACTCCAAGGCCTTCACAGCAGATGTCTTAGGGGAACTCGAACGTTTCTTGTTTTTAACAGCTACCTCAGGAACGTTCCAGGCCACTTTAGCCACAGCACCCTTAGATGACTCAGCCTCTTTCATCTTATTGAGCTGCTTGGCCATGGCATCTTTGAGAGCTTGGCTCTTCACAGATTTCTCCCTCTCTCTCATCCGCTCTTCTGCAATCTCTTTGGCTTCTGGAGAAAAGTGCTGAGGTCCCTTCACTGCTCTGGACACTGGAACACCAGGAATGTTGGGTTTTCCATTTTCCATAGCCAAAGCGAGGTGCAGGGGTGGTTTATCCCTGTTCACCTTGCTGGTAGGTGGAGTGTAAAACCTATCCTGTGCACTTGTGTCAGGGGTGCGATCGTCATAGTTGTCTTCCACATCGTCAGCAAACGGGATCTCCTCCACACACTCCACAAAGGACTTCCTGACTTCTTCTCGCCGTGGTTTATTGGGGTCCTTGGTCCTCATTACCACAGGTGGGTTTGTTCTGGGGGCAGGGATTGGAGCAGTTGCAGGTTTAGCTTGGGGAGGGCTGGTGGGAGTCTTAACTTTAGAAGGAGCTTTCTCCACTTTAGGTTCCTCAACAGTTTCACAAAGGTTGTCCCAAGTAACCAGAGGCTTCTTGTTAAGCGTTGCTGGTTCCTCATTTGGTGGAGGAGGAGGGGGGCTTGAGGGAGGCGTAAGCATGGTGGAGTCGGAGTTGTTATAACTGTCGCTTGCTGCTGTCTGGCTAGTCATGGTGCTACCGTTCAAGCCAAGGCCAGAGCTGCTGCTCAGCTCCCTTCTATCTGAGTCGTTGCTTTTGGGTTCCACAGGAGAGATTACCTGACCCTCCAAAGTGATGTTGAGCCTTCGGATGACCGAGCGGCCCATGAAGATGGGCTTCACCTCCTCAGAGAGATCCTCTGGGGTGTGGGATTTGGACGATGTAGGCTCAGGAGTAGGGGCTTTGACGATGCTCTTTTCTACTACACTTCTGCTCCTGTCCAGTGGGGTGAGCCCCAAGCTCCTCCTAATCTCAGCGCTCTTCAGCCAGAACTCTTCAATAATATCCGTCTTCTTGACCGGTGTCTCCTCTATTGAGTCCTGTGCTTTTAGAGGTTCAGTCGTTCTCTTCTCCACCGAAGTGGGTTTGGCCAAAGGCGTGGAGGTTACAGCAGGGACTGGCTGAGTCCTCACAGGAGAGTCCATGGACAGGGGCGAGGAAGGCTCCTGGCATGGTAGTGGTTGAGCACAAATCGGGGACAAGGGGTTGCCTGAAGGTGAGCAGGCACATGGCTCAAGCTGGACGGGGGACTTTGGGCTGATTGTTTCGGGTAGGGGCACTGGTTGGGAGCGAATGGGGGATGCCACAGCAACAGGGGTATTAGGGCTTTTAACCTCTGGAGCCGATGAAGGTGGCATGTGTGGTTGGACATCATCAGGCAGAAAGGGTTCAGGGAAAAAACGTGTGCCTGGAGATTTTATCAGCACCGGGGAAGGTTTCTCTATGATCTGGAAGTGTAAAAGGCATTAAAGTTTATTTTAATAAATCAAAAGTGGCAGCCAAACACCTTGATACCCCAGGCAACCCGGAAAATAATAAAGCTAAATGATCTGTAACAAACAAACAAAAATAATTTAAAACAAACATAAACACACACTACCTCCTCAGATGGCGTAGGTTTTTGTATTGGAGAAAGAATTACATCCACAATGATTTCCCTTGGACCAGCAGAGACATGCTCTGTGGGAATAAAGGAAGCAGACACAATCAGGTTTACCCTTCAAAGTACATGGGAAATCATTTTTCTTACATATTAATACCGGAGTAGCATTAAAGAAACAAAACAAGCTTGCCACAGCATGCCAATCCTGACAAATACATCAGAGCTTACCCTTTTTGGGAACATGTTCGATGCTCTCTGGCTTGCCAGCGTGCACCGGGAGAGGCTCTGCATCAACACTATGTGATCGAGCCTCAGCCTCTGCATCTGAAGGGATGTCGTCTGCGGCACAGAAAGCATTACATGCAGACACTCCATTTATTAAGATCACACCATCCATAGCCATGTCCGGCAAAGTAAACTGCGATCAGACGGCAAATTAACATACCTTCGTCCAGCTCAGTGCCAGGCTCGATGTCTGGACTCTCCGCCTCAGCATCCGGGTCATCCTCCTCTTCACAGGGCTCTGAGTTCACAGGAAGAAAGCAAAGTCAGCACAGTATATAAAACAAGAGCAGAAGGATCCTAAATCACTGTCTGGCTGAGACCACATATGGCAAGCACCTTAAAGCGATAGTTCAGGCAGAAATTAAAGTTGCACAATATTTCTTTTACCTTAGATGTAGCTAATCAGCCAAAGCATGTTTGTTTCTTCAGTTTTGCACTGAAGCTACAAGGCTAAAAACTTGCCTATGTGGTTTCTGTCACTGCATGGCACACTGTTATCAATAAAAATGGACGTATTAATAAAAATTAAGGCTTCAAGATGTCTGCTACTACTGTTTTCAGCTACACAATGTATTTTTGTGCTTTTTATTTTAAGAGATGACAGTAAGTCATAAACCACATACCCAAGTCTTTTTTGTGATCACTTAGCAACTAATGATGAGTTGTAGATTGCTGACTGGAGGGTATGAGCTGCCATTACTTGTTAGCTACACAGCTCCAGTGCATAATTAAAAAAGTGAAATATGGATACATCTTTGATTTTCTGCTAAACTATCTTTTTAATGTAGCCTCTAAGAGCTAATGTGGTATTACTGTTAGGCACAGAAAACATTTACTTACAAATACGCAAAAAGTGATAAAGCCTGAAATGTCAATCATGCAAAAACAGTAGTTTCCATGTAACATTTAACGAAGTATGAATATACTATTAGCATATAAGAACAGGACAAACATAAATGCACGTTAAGTGTAATTAGTAGTTAGCCCAGGCACATGCTCATATCCATTCACACATAAGCAAATGGATGAGGCCCAGTTTCAACAGCTGGGGAGAGGTACTCAAAGAGATGTTAATGAAAAGGAAAAATGAGACAAGCAGATATGCCCCCTTTCCACAGATCAGACTTAAAAGGACAAATTAAAAGCTGGGGAAAAAGTTTTGGAATAAACAACTCCCTTGAGAAATCTGACAACTGTACATGTTAGGCTTTTAAGATCTCAACATGGATCTTGACAAGGCTTTTTCATTTCAAAAAGAAAGTCTCCAACCTTTGCAATATGTGAAGTGTCACTTCATAACTCAAGTGGCTACAAATGGAAGGAGGACAGTACACAGAAGAGCACACCAGAGATTTCATAAAATCCCTTAAATGTTCTCTCTGCTAAGGGATGACACTTCAGCAGTCCATTTGGTAAATTGTTGAGACTGAAATGAAATGAACAGCTTTAAAACTGCACTCCAGATTACACTTGCACAACTTGAACAGGCTTTGTTAAATCTGTGGCCTGTCATTGACCCAGGTTTTTCAACCCAAGTGCCAGCTTATACCACAGTCTTCTTTTTTTTTTGTTTGGGGGTAGGGGGGGGGGTTAACGCCTTTTTTAGGTCCTTCAAATACTTTTCGAAACTGTACTTATAAACGCAAGCAAAGCCATTACTTACAGTCTACATACAAGTCAATAATGAACTCCAAGTGTAAGTCAAGGCCTTTTTATCCTATTTCAAAGGAAATATTCACCTTCTTTGTCACGTGGTTCCAGCATGCAGCAGTGTGTAGAGTTAAATAAGCTTTACCATGCAGCCAGTGTATTCCACCTGGATGTGGATACATCAGTGTCTTCTGTTTAAGCATCTAAACATGCTCTGCTGTGTGTGCGCGACTGTGTGCGTAAGGCATAGAGAAAAAGCTGTTGCGCTGTTTTCGGCTCTACCTCCAGACACAGAGTCCAGCCAGGCCCTGACAGCCTCGTGCCGCACAGACGTGTGGGAAGGGGCTAAAAGAATTTGATGAACAAGCACATGAAAAGCACAAATATGAACACAAGACCAAAAAAAAGAAGATGGTAAGACAATGGGGCTTGAGGTGGGGTCTGTTTCGGAAATACACCCACACCACCGTAGTGATAGTAAGACAGGTCAAGGACCAATTCAGTGAAAAATAATTATAAACAACAAAAAAAATGAAAATAAAATAAATACAAATACGAAATGACAAACATGCACATAAAAGACACAATATGGTGACAAAAGTGATAAAAATATACACTGCAGGTCAAAAGTTTGGAATCATCGTTTTCAATATTATACTTTTGTTGCAGATATAAAATTTTACTTGTATGAACGTGCAAAAAAAATTAAGATGCATTGAGAAATTAATTAATAAACATGCAGAATGACTCGTACTTAAAAAAAAGTGGTGATCAAATCACAGGCAGAGGACATATGAATTAATTACTCTAAATTGGTCATTACAGTTTATTATTGATTCCAAACTTTTGAACAGTAGTGTAAATCCATACAACAAAGATAGCAATAAAAAAATAATAAGCCCAAGTAAACACAACAACACTGCCCATCATGGATAAGAAGCGTATTAGTGTAGGCTGATAAAAACTTAAACAGATATAACAAAAACAGCAAATAAAGAAATAAACAAACAAACTACTGTAGACAACACAGCAGTTATGTTCATCATTAGGGAGCTTATTAGTGTGGGTGAGACGAAGGACATGAAACGTGTTTTCAAACATTCACAGCCAAATGAAGTCACATTAGAGACTATCACAACATTCTCATTCTCTCTCTATTTCTGTCACGGCAAAACATTAGTCCACCCCGTCTGAGTGGACGCCAGTGGCCGAGCAGGACTTCTCCAGGCTGGGTTACCTGTGCTGGACGCAGGCTGGGTGGCTTGGCTTGGGACTGAGGGCTGCGAAACCGAGGCTGAGTTGGCCTCCTTGTCCCCGTCCACCTGCATATCCACCAGAGGGACAAGGGGGTCCACTGGCTGCAGGACTTGCTGGATCTGCAGGTTCCTTGCTGTGCAGTTGAAGGTTGGAGTGGCATGGTTTAGATTTTGTGTGGGATGTTTGAGGGATGGTTACACGCATAGGAGAATGTCACAGAGGACATCGGGTGGCCAAAAATGGACAGGACAACGTGTCCCAGTGAAGAGAACGTCCAACAACAAGCACAAAAGAGAGCATGACGCAGGGGGATCAAACCGGACAGACAGAAATAATGAAGAGAGAAAGAGAGAAAGAACAGGACACTTTAGAATAGATTTCAAGAGCTGTAAACAGCTAACCTTTCAGGAGCAGTAAAAGCATGCAGTGACACAAAAAATAAGGGTGTTATAGACCTACAGTACTTAATTCATAGATAAATCGCTTGCTCAGCTTGTATTCACACAAACACTTCATAATAAAATTGTACTGTTGCTTTGTAATGAATGTTCAGATTAGTAGCAACAACAAAAAAAGAAAATATCCAAAACTCACATGCTTGAAAAATAAGAATGAATTCTTAAGTTGTTAGATAACATAATTCTGCATAGTTTGGTGAATGTACTTATTGGGTACACACTGCAGAAAACAAAGTTAAGGAAAAGAAACTCCCTTTCCTACAGAACTTCAGAATTCAGTTGGTATAACTGCAATTTGAACACAACTGTAATTAAGACTGCATAATATGGATAAAACACTAGTGTTGCAATTAGATTACGATTATATAGAGATGCACTTTGCAATATGTTAAAAACTAGGAATGCACGATGATGTCAGAATGATATTGGAATCAGAAGATAAAAAATTGTCCGACATGTGACAGATGTTTAGATTTGACCATCTGATGCCAAATATATTGCACTCCATAAGAGCAGAACCTTTAAGCTATGCTCGGCTTTTAAATTAAAACTTCTGCATTTTATCCACTTTATTGCATTTGTAACAGGGATGCAAATTTCCAACTAATTTTGATATCCAAGTATTCACAAGAGTTAAAGAGTTGAAATTTGACCAGCTGTAAGAGTTAAAGATGTCCAGCTGAGTGCAGAGAAGGAAAAAATAAAAAACGTACTTCAGTAAAAAATAACTAACATAGAGCTGGAGGCTTACTCTTTTAGGTATTAAAATCTGTAGCGCAAAAATTTAGCAGCAAGCCGAGGAATGTTTGAAAACATTTTAGTATTTAAAAAAAAAGCTTAGGAAAACTGGTAGTTTTTGCACGGGATAAGTAACAGAGGCTGCTTCTTCAGGTGAGAGCTAAAACTATAGTTAACTGTTTTTACCCTGGATGCTGATGAGAACTTTTCAGTGAACAACGTGCCGACATGTTAGAGAAATATATTTCCAATGTTTACTTAGCCTAGTTAGCAATAAAGCTGCACTATCTCTGCCTTCTTAATTATGTCCTTAACAACTCGATCTTGGCAATGTGACCTCATTTAGGCACTCATGTTTCAGAGTGGCACAGGTTAATATATATTCTTACTCACAAATGCAAGCAAAACCGTAATATCATACAGTCCTGTTAAAACATTAAAGTCGTATTTCATTAAATTGTTAGTCTGTATATTTTCTCCATCTTCCTGAGATGAAACGGAACGAATACCTGAATAGTGATTTAAGTATATCAATACTGGTACTCAAGCACCTGAGAACATCCCTAATTACTATCTACCAAAAAGTGCTACATTTCTCTAATACAGGTGGATCTAGTCCCAATTTCTCTATTTTATTAATGTTTATGTATCGACATCGGCCCACAGCTTCCATATCGGTGCACCCCTATTATAAACACACTGGCAAATCAATCATATCACATGGTTAAAGGCTTGCCAGAATTATTTTTACCAAAAGATGTGAATTATTTTGCATACTGCAGCCCTCTGCGGTATCAATACTGAATAGGCCAATATCACAATAAAGATTAACAAATGATATATTGTGCAGCCTTAGTTGTAATGCGCTGTCTGTAAACATGCAAAGAAAAACATAAAACCAAGTCCAAAATCTTAATGATAAAAACAAGGTAAAATGGGGAAGGGTTAGATAATGCAGTTTTTCTCCAACCAGTAACGATGTTACAGAGTTCTAACGTATATACAGGCCAAACGCATCCACAGGCAGAGCTACCTTTAAAAGTACCCGTATCCTCTTCAGTAATGAGGTTCTCCAGCCATACACCTGACTGGAGCTCCCTCTCCCAAGGGTTATACTCCCCGTCTGCCAGCCCACACAATTACCCCAACACGCACACACACAGTAGGGTAGGAAAGACATGTGATCCAAACACACACAGAGAATGACAGACAATCAAACACGCCAACACAGATCAGGGGACGGAGGAAGTAAGGAGAAAGGGAAAAGTTGAGGATGATGTTTCCACAGCACAGGATGACAGACAGCATGATCAGACACTGAAAACCAACCTCCCATTATATTCACATAAAAATAAGGTCTGCATTCTAAAGTGAAACAACTCCAATTAAAAAAAGAAAAAGTAATGTTAACAAAGTTATTCATATGAAATGCCTCATTCTAGAGAAACTTGAATGAGTCAGAACTGTTTACAGCAATCTTGCAGACAACATCTGATTGAAAACACTAATAAATGTTCTGATGCAGCTGCGACAAACTAATCAACATTATTTCCCTACATCTGCAGCTTCTTTTATACAGCCTATTGACTTTAGTTTCTCATCTATTTACCAACTGGACCCACAATACTGACATCAGCATAATTACCAATCAGACAAGGACAGATGCTGAGCACACAAAGAGAATGAGGTGGAGAGGGAAATGGGAAAATTGAATATAAATCATAGCACAGTCTCTCCATGTCATTTGACTTTTGTGCTTATTGTATATTAAAGTGGTAGACAAGCGCAATTTACCGTCACTTGATTCTTCCTCTTCCTCTTCTTCTTCTTCCTCCTCATCTTCATCTTCCTCATCTTCCTCATCCTCTCCTTCCAACTCTCCTTCCCTCTGATCTCCGTCTTGCCTGCCTGCCCCAGAATCGCTCCCACCCTTCAGTTTGGCATGGAGTTCCACGGCTTCTTTCCATGGAACTCCCCCCAGATCAGAAGGTGCTGCTGGCTCCAGCTCCTCATCCTCCTCTTCCATGTCAGACTCTGAGCTACTGCAGAGAGAGAATAGTGCATTATAACAATCCTTCGTTATTGCAATACTTGGCCTATTTACTGCTGTTAACAAAAAATAAGGACAAAGTAGTACTCTTGATGCCAAGGGCTTCATATACGCAATTTTCTTGAGTGGAACAATGTCATAGCTTCATGTTTCACTGCATAATAAAGGTTTGTGTGTTCAGTGACGGTAACCAATGTCACATTGGGAAATCATATTGTTTAACGTATTTCAGTAGGCTAGTAGTTAAGGATAGCATAGTTGTTGAACTGTGGACATGTGTGTGTTTTGTAAGTCATAGTGGATAAGACACTACACCACCAGTTCAAAGAGGCATAATGCCTCTGCACTTTTTCCTTGTGGTCATGTCCACAGCATAGTTGTTACTCTGACTGTCTGAATGTTTCCCATATCAGTAGACAATTTATACACAGACCTTCTGCCTTTAACTTGACAAGCTCACAATTTGTGATTGCAAATATACAAGCATTTGTAAATTCTTGCTAGTGTGGGTTCATGTCAGTTTCCTCCCTTTCAATCATGCACACAAAAACTACTTGCATGCCTATATCTCCACTCCACAGCAAGTGAGTTACAAAGCAGGTCCATGTGGTGCTTCAGATCCAAGTATCAGTTTCATAGTCCTTTTCTGAAGCTGTAAAGTGACATACCTGGAGCCTTCGTCTACATCCGTCCCTTTATCCAGCACACTGCTGAGGTTATGTTCTGCTAGTGTCTCCTCAGGAACCTCCTCAAGTTCCTCCTCACGTTGCATAGAAAGTCGGTAATTCTCCAGCTCAATTCGCTCAGGGGTCCCTTTCAGACGCTTGGCCAGGCTGGGCTCGGCCACTCCGTTCACTTCTGGAACTGCAGGGGACAGTGAGGGAAAGGTGGGAGAGACGTTTAATTTTGGAGATCAAAGGACTGAGGTGTAGATTTGCAGGCCGTGCAGAAGCTATGCAAAGGTGGCCAGATGGCCACAGGCTTAATTACAAACCTCTGTTTACAGTCATCTCCAGCAGTTTCTAAACTGATTGACATGGCACTGTTAGGTAATAAATCTGCCTTGATCACCTCATGTCTAACTTGTATAGAAGCAAAATGTAATTACTGAAAATTTAAGAAATTGACATTGGATTTGTGTTGGAATATTGCATGCAGGTTTGTAGTTATTTTCCGAGGGAGTGTGTGCGCATCACTGGTATTAACTGGTACTTCCAAATGTTTTATTCACAGTACAAAAGTCAGTGAAGTCTTTAAAAGTTTGGAAGCATTAGTTAAGTCATTCAGAGGGATTTTCTTTGATATCTAGTCAATACAAACAGACAAACACAAACTTAGTAACGTCTCGACAAATTTATTTATGCATTTGATTTATTATCCTACATCATGTAATGAATAGCATAAATTTAAATATATTGAATTATCAAATATATTACATATTAATAAAATACAAGAAGTTGGTACCTTGCCTTTTTCCCATCCTACAAAGCAACACTTCATGATAAAAACGTGTCCATATTTGAACTCTAACTTTTTGATGAACTTTGAGCTGGACAAGTGTGATGAATTAAAGCATGACATTCCTACCCTATCAACGCAACAACAGGAATAGAAATGATATTCCTGTATGGTTAAGTGAGCTCAGAAAAACACCAACCCCCCGAAAGACAAAGGCTAAATCTTAAAGCGAAATCTATGAAAACATATTTAAAACATACAAAAAGAGCAAGGTGAGTATGTGAATGTGTGGTGTAGAGGTGAAGAACGTAGCATGGTGCGACTCATGGTGACAAAACAACAAAACCCACCAACTTCCCAAAACTACCTGAATGGGTTATTTGTATTAATATATATATATTTGTAAACAATATATGTTACAACCCTGAACCTAAGTGACCTGAGCTAAAACACACTACAGCAAACATTCCTGATGTGAAAAATCATCTAGTAACTGTTCAATTTTAATAAAGTACAATCAGAGCTGAACAATTAACCTCTAAAACTTTTATTACACTCTAAAACACTCAAAATATTGGCTTATAATCACACACATTTTTCACTAAAACCATTAAAACTATGCTTACTGTTGGCCTAGCAGAATAACACTTTCACGTTCTCTAAATTCCTATCGAGCAGAAGCATAGAGGTATTTATAGTCCTATACATTTTTCCAGTACTATGACTCACATGATTGATGGAAAAATGGGGTTAGTATGCAGGAAAGACTTAGAAACGCACAAACACTGAGGGTGTGATGGGCTACAGCTACAGACCAATCACAGGCACTGATGCAGGCACTAGCTGAGCGAGAGGCTGCTCTGATAGGAAAGGGGAAAGGTAAAGCTTACAGAGTCATCCAATCACAGGCACTGATACAAGCACTACATTACAGGGCTTCACTGCTAGAAAAGTACAGGTACAAAAACACAGGCACTATTACAGGCAGGAACTAGAGACAAGAGGTGGAAGAGAAGAAGATTTCAGCAACAGAAAGGTAAGAAACAGACAGCAAATAAACTATACAATCTCCACATATTATAAGTACATAAAGAACATGCAGGCAAAAAAAAATGCCAATCTGATTTCACATTAATATATCTACTTCATTGCTATGACTGTCTATACGCCCTAGAGCTTAAATTAATTTAAATGAAAAATATAAGCTAGTAGGGGGTGGGCAATATGCTAATATTTTATTGAATCCTGGTCAATTATTTAACAATATGCTTTTCTGAGCATATTGTGTATAATTTGGGAATTGTGGGCCAATGTCAATATACAATATTTTTTATTTACATATCTGCCAATACATGACCATATTTAAAATACATCTACCTGGTTTAGCATTACAGAGAAAAATAACATTTACTTTATAGCTTTACATATGCAGTAAGATGAATAAAATGCAGATATCACAGCTCAGTAAACCAATGTCACCGAAACATTCTGCTCTTTCAAAGTACAAAAAATTTCTAATCGAATACTGGTTAAAAAATCTAAACATCTTTCTGAGACCGCTCTTTTTTTTTTAGCAATTATCTGCTAATTTAATTAAACTTACTTCAGTGAGGTGCACTGGTGCGTTCTGCGTGTTCCAACCTACCAAACCTCAGAAAAACTAAATACTGTGATACATACAGGGTATCATGAAAATGTTTTCAAGTATTCTGATAGCGTTTTTCAACATATCACCTCACTTCTGCCAGTTAGGCTCTTTTTTGCCTGAATATTTTTACTCAAATTCATAAAGCTTTAATGAAGAAGCATCATTTTACATGTTTTACACATCTGTTGCAAACATCCAAACCAATTAAAAACATTTAATTAAAAATGACAAACAAATGGCACATCCTCAGAATGTACAGATCACTGCGGCCAACACTTCAGTAGTGTTAGCTCATCTCAGAGGCTTTAGTAGAGAGGGAGCATGCTAGAGGATATTGAGCAGGAGGTTGAGAGTGAAGCAGGAGAAGAGGTATAGGCAGTACGTGAGGAGGAAGTGGAAGTCTAAGGGGTTGTGTGCCACCTGGTGGCGAGTCCAGGACAGTGCGCGGCGCAGCGAGCGCACCGAGCCCCGCACCCCAGGACAGAGGCGCAGGACAGGGCCAAGAGAGGAAAAGCGGGTACCTGAGGGCCGGCACTCCACAGGGGGCTGAGCAGCCGCCGCTCGGCCAGGGGCATCCACAGTGACTGGAGGTACCGCTGGGGCCTGGGGCTCCTGAGCACGCAGAGAGAAAAAGACCCAGACAGACATCATTTATATTACAGTGAAAGCATGAAACAGCGGAAATTAACACATACGGGGAGGGAACATAGCAAAGGTGTGTGCGTTTTGTAGGGTGGACAATTTTTATTTTATTTATTGAATATCATTAAAAACATATCTTTAAACCTCCAACCAGTTAAGTGATCTCTCACTCACATTCATTTCGTCAACCACTATAATGTACCTCTTCATAGGAACATGTAGCTTGACTATGGACGTTACTCAAGTGGTTCACATCTGACCGACTGACTGACTCTCAACTAATCCCAGCAAAAGAGAGCAGAGACTGCTGGGTGCGCATCAGCTGTGGTTTCTGCGTTGTTTATATGTGCACAGCTGTGTCTTCTCTCTCCAAAGAAATTCAACACGACACCAGTGTTTGTTACGTAAAGAAGGTAAAAATTTCAGCACCCTCAAATTAATGCATCTTTCTGCATCCCAGGTTCCTGCAGTTACATTTGAATATTCAGCATTTTTTTAATTATTCAGAATCGTATCAATATTTGAAACTTGAGATTTCATGATGTATTGATCTCCTGAAGAATTCTAATCAAATCAGAGACTGACAACCTTTGGGATGTGCAGTCTAGGTAATTATTTGTGCATTTTTACATATTTCTAACCCTTCTGTATCAGCACCAACTTCCGTCAGTGCCTTAGCTCGAAAGCATCATTAGACTCTGGCTTATTTGAACTAGTGTAAGGATAAGTTCCACAAGCTGACAAGTCTCTCTGGATATCTGGAGTGTCTACCCAATTCCATAAGTGTATATGTACTGGGACTCTCTAGTTGAACTACACAGCGATGATTCATTCAAGCAGTCCTTCACTATCCAACTATTAATAATTACAAAAAAAACATCACACAGAATCCTACTGCTAGTCATTCAAATGCATCCGAGCAAGCATAAAACGCTGCACTCAAACAGAAACGAACATCTCACACATATTGTTTGCAAGCAGGTTCTACCTTTAAGTGGAGAGGAGCAGCGGCAGGGGCAGGCCTCTTCCTCTGGGCCTGTCCGGACAAGCGGTAACAGTAGTGCGGCTTACAGTAAAACTTCCCTACGAGACACACACATACACAAGCGAGCACAGTCAACATATAAAGTATTACACAGCCTTTCAAGTAAATCTACCAAAGAGAGAATTAAATACCTGCTTTATAGGTAAAAAAATAAATGTTTTCTACAGTGCAAAAACACTATTTGCTTCGTGCTCATACAAAGTGGGAAGTCACTAAACAGTCTGAACTTGAGGAGGGGTCAAGGGGATAAAGAGAGAAAGAACTACTCTGTTTGTGGCAACAATATGCCAGTGTGTTGAAAGACAAAGGAAATCTTATGACCAAACCACGAAGAAGAGGGCAACTGAATGAACAAGGAGAATTCATGTCTTGATAGTGTTAATTTATGCAGTGTAGTAAGTGACTGGACAGTTTGTTGTTCTGGCTTTGCATTCCAGCACATTGGGTTTCAAATTAAAAATAATTAGAAGGTATAAAAAGAATGAATTTGAGGACATTTACTTCACTATTAAGTAGATATAAGAATCACAGCTTTTTATAAACATTCCTTTCATTTCAGGGGCCCCCAAGTACAGTTGTGTAGAGAAGTTTGGGCACCCTTGGTCAAGTTACGTATTTTTTAAGTGAATACGTTTAATCCAAAGTACACATTCTATACTGAGAACACACTTATGTATATTAATGCAAAATTAATTAATCACTGATTAAAAAATACTGATTATTTGCTGAATGTAACATATTGGGGGGAAAAAAATACAAGTAATAAGAAAAGTAATAACTAAGTAACAAATTAAGTTAACTATAAATAACAAATTAATAAATAACACAAATAAAACCAGTGGTTGGAATGTGGGTATATAGTATTTGTCATCAACGACTGCTTGAAATACCTTAAAATGTATATTTGGACTGATTATGCTTTGCCAGGTCTGTAATGCAGGCATTTTCAATTTCTAATTGTGTTGGGTTCGTTTTGCCTTCACTCTTGTGTTCACCCTGTGTGAGTGAAACCTGTGGTCAGTACGGTTCGTGCTTTATTACCAACTTAGCCAGACTAGATAATTCGACTGTATTACCACTGCAACAACACGCAAGTATTCTTAATAAAGGGAATGGTTCTATTTAGAACCATGAGTTTTATATAGAATTATTTCATGCTTAAATGGTTCTATTCATAGTGAAATGGTTTTTCAGATTGATGGAGAATGTGTTGTATATAGTTCTATACAGAACATTTCTGAAAATGGCTATACACAGTGCCAAAAAGGGTTCTTCTATTGTTACAAGCTTGACATCAAAACAATAGAAGAACCCTTTTTAAGGTGCAAATGACACATGCAGACTCAACTCTAGATTCTTTATTAATTGTCCAATTCTGTTTGGTTCTCTAGGTGAAGGATGTATAAAATGGCTATAATTCTTAGATGATTTAACACAGTTGTAAATACCCTCAAATTAAAGCTCACTTTCTGGAGTATAAAACTAAAACAACAAAATAGTGTCCAAATACTTACACTGCGCTGAACTTATTTGATTAGAACTCGAAAGCGTGCGCTTAAGTGCAAATGCTAAATGTATGAATATGTATCCTTCATGCCAGGCAGATTACAATGACGTACCATCCTCCACATCGAAGGCGTAGGAGGAGAGGCGCAGAGTGGTGCCGCAGTAGTCACACTTAAAGCAGCTGCGATGGAAGAACTTTCCCTCTGCACTCAGGCGCTCCATCACATATACGCGCTTTCGGCAGAAGAAACACACATCACTTCCCCCAATGTTCTGTGGAAACTCCTTCCGCAAGGAACCCTGCATAACAAAAAATAAAAAAATTGTAAAAAAACAACAATACAATACAGTCATATTTTTGTGACAGAGATACGCATTTGCAGGCACTAGTGGAAAACTAGTGTCCTAGTCCAACTCAGCACAGCATACAAAACAAGTCTTGGTCAGGGTATTAACACTTCCAAATATAGCACAGCTTTCAGAAATGACACTTTACGAATCAACATTTGGTTTAGTGGCAGCAGATTAAACAAAAAGAGAAAAATGGATAACAGCTATGACTGCCTTAATATGCTTAGTAAATGCTTGTCTTGCCTTTTAAGTTACATTAAACTAAATATCTATTAAAGAGCCTATGTGCTGCACTTTTCTTATATTTTTATCCCACTGGGGGTTCACTTATCACATTTGTGTAGTTTTATGTACCATAAATTATAATTTCCCAGACTATGTACTGATTAAATTCTACTTAATATATTCTGACCCTGGCCATAACCCAAAATCTAGTCGTAACCCTAAACCTGGTCTCAATCCTAATCTTAAACCTCTTAAGAATCAATAAAATTTCACTGCATAGTTGCATAGAACCTCCGTAGATGATTCATAGTGGGACTAAAAAAGTAAAATAAGAAGTCATTTCTGAACACGTGTGTCAACACAGGGCAATTTTTCAATATTCACTGCAGAACGAGCACAGTTTGTACTTTAGAGACTGAAGCTCACAATCTATAGAGGAAGGTTTTGCATTAAAAGAAAGTTAGCTGAACACGGTTCCAAGCATTCTAGGCCATCACACTGGATACTATGTGGCATCACTACAACTCCCAGCGTTCTTACCAAATCCCTTTTCTCAAGAGGGGGCCTGGAGTCCTCCTGGGTTTGAAGCTGACTGGCTATTTGCTCAGTCAGTGAGCTCACTCCCCCTGTATACATCTTTACATATCGCTATGGACCGCAGACAAATGAAAAGGGAAATTGAGAGGGAAAAGAAGTGAAAAGAAGAGAGAGAAAGGGGAGAGTAAGTTTGCGAAACTCAGAAATGTGCTGCATGATTTCAACAAAACACTAAAGGCGAGATTGTGATATGGTTAAAAGATTTTTGGTTGATCAGATTTGTAGATGAGACAGAGAAGTGTCTGATGACAGGGCATATCGGCTTAGATTTATATAACGGGTGAAAGCCATATTCTCTTAGCAAATCTCACACAAGCACACTCAATACCAAGACCACAAACATCACATACATTGACATTTCATAAAACCCCTTTGCTGTACAAGCAACGTGTCTCCAAAATATCAAATTTTCCAAATATCAAGATTAAGGCTGTTGAGGGGGGATCTCAATCTGCACATACAATTTCATTAGCCCTGGTTACAGTTAGAGAGAAAAAAAACATCACTGAAGTCATAATACCACCATTAAGTGCTTCATTATTTCATGTCTGTTAGGGCAACCATAAACACAGTGAAATCCTCTGAAAGCAAAAAGCTACTGCCCCATGTAGATCATTACTCTTACCTACCAAGTCAGACTAGCTCAGTGCATTTCAGCACTGATATTTTATCCTTTCTCTATACCAGGAACAAAATAGTTACTGGCTTCAATGATATGGGATATAACATTTTAATAATTCTGATAAACATGTAATAGGATTGGCCTTAACAGTGTTTCATAGGTTTTGAATACTTGTTGGTGTTTTGCAAGAGTACCCAAATTCTCATTCTCAAAACCACTCTTAAATTACTACTATTTATGATTCATAATCAAATATAATTTTAAGGATGTTTGTTACTGCAGTTCAAACCATATCCAGTAGGTGGCACTGATGTGTTAAAAGCATATACCAGTGATGGCCCAAATTAACAGCCATGGTTAATGGCATGTAGCCTACCAAACCATAATTGGAAAAAGAAAATTACACCTACATATTTGAACTGATTAATCAAACTTATTATGGCCTCATGGTATTCTAGCCTCTTATCTCACATTTTGCCTTTTTGTTATTGTTTGATATATTTAAGTCCTCCCACACATGATTGCCATGTGCTTCAATAATCTTCAATAACCATGTGGAAAGCAGTGCAACTTCATGTAGCCTGAGGAGAGGTGACATGGATGCCTGGCATGAATTTGTGATATATTCAGCTAAACCACATATTATTTTATTTATCTTTCTAAAAAGGAGGTGGAAATAAATGCAAATGCAAAGCATTTGCCAGAACAACATATGTTCACACAGTTATAATCTTAATAGTAAACTCTAGTAGTGCAGGTGATCATTTCACACTTATTTTAATTGTAGTTGCATTTTCCATTTGCACAATGTACTGCAGAATTAAGACGTTCAAATAGAAAAGAAATAAATAAATAAAAATACTGGTCCTGTAATTCTATCAGTGTGTATTAGCGCGTCTTAAACATCTCAAGTATGATACTGCAATAATACTGAAAAATGTCATAACTTTGGTCATAAACATCATGATAAGAAATGCCCATGTCGTCCCATCCGTACTCTATATACACAAACATGCTGTTAAAGAAACGTCCAGATTAACAAATCTCATAGTGCAGTCAGTAGATGAGGCACTGAGTAGGCTAGTACTTTGTCTTGAGACATGAGAGTGAGCAAGTTAGCCACAGAAACACACAGGTGCACAGCTGGCCGGATGTGCTCCAGCAGTTTACTACCTGTCGGAGTGAGGCAGGAGAGGGAAGCGGGCTGTCTGAGGGCAGCTCACGCACTCTGTGCCACTGCTCAATAAAGAAAGGCGAGGGTTTTTTCTTAGGCTCCAAAGAACAGAGAGAGGAAGGAGAGAAGTTATTAAATGACTACAGAGGTAAGAAGAATCATGAAGAGAGTATAAACTGGCAAAAAGATGAGAAAGAACCTGATCTGTGTTGGAAAACCAAAGATGCATGCTTTTCTGTTTATATTTGTAAAATTACACTGTGGCTCTGCATAGAAATCACGTGAAAGATTTCATTGAGTGGCATATACACTACTGTTCATCACCAGCAGAATACTGTTGGAATTACTAGCCGCATTAATACTTTGTGTTGCTTTACATACACTAATAATTTCTACTAGGTAAATTTAAGTCAGAGGTGCCCTAGCTGTGGGCCAAAGTGCAAGGTCTTGCTGGCTAAATCAAACATCCTCAGGGTCCAACTTTGGGCAGCCTCAGTTGTAATATGACGATACCTCAGGAATTTTTCATGATATACGATACAATACTTTTTAACAGACAAAGCAGTGCTACATTTCAAAAACATGACTCTTTCTATGAATACAACGATTATTATACAGCATTTCATAACTTGTGCTGCACAAAATCCAATAAACAGGACTAATTATGCTCTCTTTGTAATTAAACACGAAGTTGGGAAGTATTGTTTAAGTATTAAGAATATCTAAAAGATACTCAGAAAAGTATATTGTGACCGTTTTTCATGATAAGGCTAACTGGCATACTGCAGAGCCCTATTAACTAGGTATTTTCAGGAGTTCTGGGAACAAAAATAAGTTATTAAAGATTAATAATACACTGTAATTGCCTACTAAATTGAAACATATTTAAAGAAGGTCTAAGCAGAGCATGTGTGTCAGAATGTCAGGATGGAGAGGTCACCTTGGGCCTAGCTGGCTTGTCTTTAAATAGAGAGGCTAACTTCTCTGCTCGTTCCTGGATGCTGGGGATGTGTAAAGGCACTTGTTCATCAGAGCACAATATCTGGCTCTCCTGCAGGAGAAAAACCTACTCTGGTCAACAGACAAACAACCTGGGATCTACTGTCCAGGACTTCAAAGCCACTCTTAGGTTAAGTGAGCACAGGGGACATGAGGTTCATGCAGCCCAGCCATGCTTGGGCAGGACTACCTGCTGCTGGGGATCAGGGGGATAGGAGGGGGTCAGCCCGTGGGTCAGCAGCCACTGCTCTAGAAATAAGCGGGAGGGCTTTTTCATAGGCTCCACAGGGACAACACAACAGAAAGAAGAGGAAGACTTAACACCCAGTCAGAGAAGAAAGTGAGAAGTAATACATGTAAGCACTGTAGTATAGTACAGTAACTCTGAAGATCTTGAGCGCCCCCTCACAAAAAAAAACAAAGATCACTCTAAACCAAATAGACCTGAGTTGTGAAAGAACACCAACTGTATCAATCTTGTTGCCTCTTTTATGCTCTACCTTGGGCTTGTCAGGCTTGTGAGGCTGCCTTGTAAATTTAGTAGCTAGTGTTTCTGCTCTCTCCTGAATGCTAGAAGCATAGACAGGCTCAGACACTTCTGTGGGCCACGATCCTGTTTCCTGTGAACAGAAGTACCCAGAAAAGATTCACCTTATCCATATATATATATATATACACAAGCACATGCCCATGCATAGATTAGGTCTATGTACAATACTGTACAGAACTCAGAGACACCTCTTCATTTTTTACAATTTACAGCCAAAATGGCCATTAAGTTAACATTCAATTTTCAGGACATATTTTTGAGAAAATCAGATAAAACATAATCCACTTGTATGACAATCCAGTTGTAAGGAAGTGAAAACCTTCAAGTCTTCCAAAAACAACGGAAGCTGTAAAGGCAAAGTGTTACATTATATTTAGCTGTTGAGGCTTCTGTGCATTTTTATATATGTTTTGCTTCTGCTATTTTCTTGATGCTGAAAAATAAAAAAAAACTAATTAATGGCCTTTTTGACCGGAAATGAAATAAATGAAAGGTGGTCTCCGACTTTTGCACAGCAAAATATTCTTTTTAAAAGCTGAAAAACTGAAGCCAAGTTGGATTAGCTGTGCTTCTTTTCACATTCACATGTGAATGCATGACAGCAAACATTAGTAGTGTTTTAACTTTCCTTCCACCTCACTTAAGATGCTGAATTTACTCCCAAACCACTCATCAGTAGATACATAAAAACACAACAGGCCCATGCTCTAACCATGGTTACCCTGTAAGACAGTGAGAGATGGTCCTGGGTAGTGCCTTCCTCCACATCATTATGCTCATTCACCTTAAACTGGTGAAAACCCTTCTGCAAAGCAGATAAAGAGCCATCAGATTTAACCTGTTACATCCTTTAAAACCACTCATCACACAACCAGTCACATCACAAATAAGCCACACAATCGACCTCTAATAGCACTGATTTACTCTCTTTACGCCCGTGGTTCTCAAATCAGTCCTCAGAAACTCCCAGATGGTCCATATTTTTGCTCCATTCCTGTGTGTTGGGAGTTGGAATCCAGCAAAATCGTGGACCATCTAAGAGGCCCTGAGGACCACTCTAAGAATCAGAATTGTGCTGTTTGACACAATTGCAAGTACATGCATGAAACTGAATTCTAATACTGGCAGACTGCCCCTGCTTTCCCCTTAAGCGTCAGCAGATGGTGCTGCAGTACCAAGGATAAAAGAATATGCTGATGGTTTGTTGCTTGCAGCAACCTTTTTCTACATACTGTTCAACCATTCCACATGCAGGAACAATGATGCACTTTACCATATGTGTGAAAATGTTTTGGACATTATTGGCGTATTGTGCAACAGTCAGAGACCACCTTTCATTTATATACTTTCCAGTGAAAACCTAGATCTTAATATCACTTAATGTGTTTAGGGTGACTTGGATCATGAGAAGCAGAAAATACAACCAACTTCTAAGACTGAACTTTAGAGGTGTGGAAAAATATCCCAGCAGACATATCTCTAAAAAACTGAGATAAAGACTCCTTAAAATAATTGAATTGAGTGATATAATATATAGTTATTGAGGCTTCAGTGTAATTTTCTGAATTTATTGTCTGCTTCTCTTAAAATCAATGAACATTTACTACATGTCCATTTTCAGTGGAGATTAAATAAATGAAGCGTGGGTCTTTGACTTTTGCACAGCACTGTATGCATGAATGACAATCAATAAACCCATGTATGAATGGAAATCCCCTTTGAGGTGACCCAAACTGAATGTTCATTGCGGTTAGACAGGAAACTCTGCAAATAATTCAGTGCTTTGTGGAAAACTAAGCAAGAGTAAGGACAAATGTGTTAATCTACCAAGTGCTTAAACAGTCATGAATTAAAGTAAAAGTGCTAAAATGAAGACAGATTAGTAGAACTGCAAAGTGAGACACAGAGAGAGAGCTGGTTAGGAAGAAGGATGAAGAGAGCAGAGTGCCATGTCAAGTGCATGGCAATGAGTGTCACCTGTGTGTGTGGAGAGAGCGGTGGAGAGGAGGATGAAGAGGATGAAGGAGGAGAAGAAGAGAGCAGAATGGTTTTCTTAGGGCAGCTTCGCAGGCCATCGCCGCTCCTGCTGGCCTTCAGAGACACAGGAGAGGAGCGAAAAAGCGCTCAGTCACTCTCTAATCTCACATTCATCGCCCTCCACATCAGACTTCACATCCAAACTTCATCAAACCTGAGCCAAAATGCATAGCTACTTGCAGTTTCCTTTATAAACATACGCAATCGAGCGTTTAAACTCCTCAGTTATCTAGCAAACCTCAATGTGATGATAATGATCAGCAAAAAATATGGGAATGGAAGCTGTTTGCCTATGGTTAAATAAAAAAAGCCTCCTCAAAAGATCACTCTGTAAAGTTCATTCATCCATGCTGTATTAAATCTAGTCAATCAGGCTCCAAACATAGCAAATGGAAGAATGGAAAAGTACAGAACACAAATGATTCACAAATGAACATACACACAGAAACACAAAGAGACCACCCATACAGGAATGTGTGAAAGCAAAGCTAGCTACGCCACATCTAAACCACCACAATCTGACAGTGAGGAATATCATGAAATAAAACAGTAAGCAAAGGCTACAGACCATTTAGCATCATTCTGGGAGTGGAAACAGACTGATAACTAGAGCAAGCAGGGTGAAATTCTGTTTCTGTGAGGATATTACCCACTGCAGAACAAAAGTCTGATCATCTAAAAATACTGCATACATCCATAATTGGATATTACTTACTTTACTTCCTTACTTACTGCTGCTTTTAGTGTGCTTTAACATACTACAAGTGTATCCATTTGAGAACATTTTACTATCTTTATTTGCAAAGCCAAGCACAGACTATTTAGGTTATGTGCATTCTCCATGGAATCTCAGGGTCCCTTCTGGAAACCGTGCTGCATATTGCCAACTTCACTGCCAAAGAGCAGTACCACTGCCAATTTTCCCAATTGTGGCTGATGCACTAAAAACTTGAAGCTACAACAGCCACTCTCAGTCCCCACACTTCCTTTCACACAGAGGGTACAGTCCAAGTACACACTATTAGATAAAAGTTCTAATTAAATAAGAATTTGGCAAGACTTTTTTTTACTAACTACACTATAATTCACCATTACTGAGTTTACAACTCTGAACTACAGAGTGAACTACATGCCTTCAATGGTTTTCAGAACAGCAAAGGTCACCTAGTAGACTATGGGCAAGGCATGCAACCAGTAGACTTACACCAAATTAGTTTATTTCCTTTTTTTTTTGTTAGTGTTACAACCTTGTTGGCTGGCTGTCTGATGATGGAAACATGGGTTTTCAAGGTTGATACTAACAGCTACAGTGAACTTTAGGGGAAGTGGAGGCACTATGTCAAACCTCAATCTGACGTACTGATATAGTAGATGTAGCAACATCAAACTACCACTAGTGGATGCATCTAAGAGGATGCCTAAGTCTAAATTACTTGAACTCTGGATAATCTCTAGATCAGGGCTGCCCAAAATGTGAGGCCTTTGCCTGTGAGGATCTTTGATTTAGCCCGCAAACATTTTAATACTATATACAATTTCTTGCATTCTGTATCTTTAACAAATTCTAGCAACAATTTGTTTGAATACTGTTTGTTCTTTTTGTCCCTCAGCCCACGTTGCTCTTTGGCCCCTCAAGACATAAAGTTTGGGCACCCCTGCTCTAGATCATGCATTGTAATACTTAAAAGTGGACTGATCAGTGGACTGGGTAAAGCTGGGCAACAGGGTAGCAGGGTGTATTCTTGGTTTCCTAAAGCTCTGGTCATACCTGTTCCACTCTGCTGGGCAGAGTCTGACACTTCACCCTCTCTTTATAGCGGATACTCATCTGTTCCTGTAACTGAGTCCGTCTCTGTGTATGTACACAACCAGACACACACTTATACACCGACTTGCCATTTTCCTGAATCACCTACTATATGGATGCATTTTGTAGGTATACAGTTATTGACTGAAGCTCATCTGTTGCTGCACAATGTGTCATCTGTCCCATCTGTCAGTAGAAAGGGACCACCACTGACCGAATATTATTTGGGTGGTGGGCCATTCTCAGCATGGCAGTAACACCAACATGAGAGTGGTGGAGTACATCAAGATATGATACAGACACGAAACACGCAAGGTAAATGCAAGGTGAAAACTAGCCTAATTGTGCAGGTAAAAAGATGAGGGACAGTCTCTTGTCTCTGTACACCTGAGCGATCTAATAATGTGGCCAGTTAGTGCCTGCATCCAGACACACACACACACACACACACACACACCAGACTCTCAAACAATCATGAACACACAAAAGCTGCTAAAATTTGACGAATCTTTGAGTAAGTACAGTGGTTCCCAAGCCTGGTCCTGGAGCACCCCCTGCCCTGCTTCCAACACACCTGATCCAACTAACCAGCTTATTAAGGACCTATTTATGACTTGAAGTGGGTGAGCTATGACCAAGGAAAACACTAAAATAGGGGCTCCCGAGTGGCACAACCATCTATGCGTTGGCCCTATCATCAGGCAGTTGCAAGTTCTAGTCAGCGCAGCCATCTGTTAGCTGATGTAACAGAACAGTTCTGCTGTCCAGTGACGTCACGTGAGCAGCAGTTCTAAAAGATGCGGTGGCTCTTCACAGGTCTCGGAGGAAGCCTGTGCTAGCCGTCGCCCTCCTAGCGCTGGTGGTATTGTGTGACTGGGGGAGTCCTAACTAGTGGGTGGAACTGGAGATGACTAAACTGGGGAGAAAATTGGGGAAAAATCAACACTAAAATGTGCAGGGCAGGACCAGCGTTGGGAACCTGTTGGTAAGTACAACCAATTTCAGCCATTAGACAAAAACTGTGTTCATGAACATAGCATCAACATTTTCTTGATCAACTAAAAGCAAGTTATTAGCTATTAAAGCAGTTCTCCATAACTCAGATAAGTAACAAAGCCTTAGATGAGATCCAGCTAAACAAAAGCTCAGCAAACACAAAATGATGGACAAAGGTTGTAAGTTATTAGACAGACAGCTGTGAAGGCTAAGGAAGGACTTATCTACACGCTTTACCTTTCTCCACGCAGGCACAGGAGCCAGGCGCACAGGCTCTTTCAGAGCAGCGGGGGGTGGGGAAGGGGGTGACAAAAGCCCCAGATTAGGCATGGAGTCCCCCTGTGACCAATGCAGTGAAAGTGATAGGTGGAGTAACCAACGAAAGGCCAGGAAACAGCAGTCGCAGCCAAGCATGAGCCACCATGAGAGAGGATGGAGACGCAGAGGAAAAGAAACAAAAGAGGGAGATGAGAGGAGAGGCATGCACAATCACACAGTGAAAGAAATGTAAAAGAAATGCTGAATGACAGGCAGACAGAAAATAAGCCATGCATTAACTAAAGTAATACAATGTAATTACAGAGAGGCCAAAAATGTGTTCAGACATGCATGAAAACAGTGTATAGGAAAATGATACTAATCAAGCAGAAAGAAATGGATCAAAATAAAACCCATCTTCCTGTCAAAGCCATTCCCTTCCCACACTTCCTGCAGACATTTCAGGACATTTTTAAGCTACCACATTACTGCAGGATAATGGTGTCAACAAACAGCAGTGTGCCCAACAGTGTCATTGCCCCACAGTGGTGCTAAGAACACAGAGGGTTTAGCTTACTAATAAAAAGCTCCTAAATCCTCGATGATGCCACTCATTCCTGCTGGTTACTCCATTACGGCAGATCAGAGCACACACAGGCCAAATCACAGCTCTGCTCATTTAAATGTGACCCAGACACTGCTTCAGCATTCTGCACATATCTCGCCAGAAGTTATGTACTATTCTTTCCTATATCTGAAAGATGACTGCAAAATACCTTCATGTCTCGATGTCAGGAAAAAAACCTGAACATATATCCATGTAATTCCAAACACATTCAGTGATGTTGAGGTCTGAACAGGGTTGAGGTGTGGCTGATTTTACCTGTACTATCTATCTTGTCTGGATGTGGCATTTGGATAATTCGTGGTCTTTTATGGCTTTCAATTTTAGGTCTTTAGTCACAGCAATGAAACTATTAGTTGCCTTGTTCACATCCAAATCATGTTGACAACATATCGAATAGAACTTTGTCTGGCTTGTCCCCTTGCAAACTAACCAATAATGGGACATTGTCTACTTTTCTCCGCTTCTCATTAAAAAACATTTTTTGACTTTCACCTCTTTGGCCTGTGAGGTTTTCTCCTCCTCCTTCACAGGGGGTGAAGTAATAACACAGGCTACTTGACCTGAGGTGATTCTTTTTAACCACTGGTTGCTATTTACCATTCTATGCTCAAGTTGTTATCGGACACCTTGCCAAGGTTTGTCTATTGGTTTGTATATTGTCTTGAGTGAAACATGCAGACTCGCAATGATCACAAGCAGATCTGCAATATGCAGCATATATAGTGAGATATGTTGTGATATGCAATATACAATACAAATCAAAACTCTGCACACATCTGAATCCCTGTTAATCATAATCTTAAAACATTTTGACCTAAAGGTTTATTAGACAAAAAGAAATTTTCACAATGATGTCACTGAAATTTATGTCCAAAGCAAAAAACTCATTTTTAAACATAATTTTTTGGAACATGCTTTTATTGCAAGTTGGAAGACTATACTGTAACAGCCCCATTCGCGATTCTGGACATAAACATTTCTAAAAGCCAGAAAAGAAAAATAAAACAAATCATTACATCATCCTCAACACAATCATTATTTTAACCTAAATAAAATTAAAATTTAATTAGTGGCATGTCTGTTCTTGTAAATGCATTACAGCCAATCAGTTATGTTGTGATGAGGGATAGCAGAGTTTAAACAGCCCTTTTTGGCAGAATGCCAGCTGATGGCATGAACAGAGTACTTTTGGATTTCATAGTTTTGATGTCTTTATTATTATTATAAAATATGGACAGAGAAACAGAGAAACAAGGGCGCTCACTCCTTATCTAAAATCTTAATAATAACAGTCCCACCAAGCATGGATCAAGCCTCTCTGAACAGCCTGAGCAGTGAAAATTTTCTCTAAATAAAGCCATTCCAAGATAAACAGTTGAACCAGGGGTATCCTGAAGGACACGCCACAAGACACAGTGCCTCGTCTTTTGGGAAAAAAACAAACCCAGTGTTACACTGCTGCACCCACTTCCCTCTCGCACACACACAGTGCTGCTGGGTCTATGACTGCCCCAGACCTGCCCTGAGAACCCAGTCAACTCTACAACTCTATATAAACACACACAGATCATACTAGACAAACAACGCCCGCACAGAAAACACCACAATCGGTTACTGGGGCATCCACCACTTCTGGTAGCAGAGCAAAGCACTGTTATTTTTAAATGAACTCTGGCCTACCTGTCTCTTGAGCCCAGTGGACTGTGCTGGGGCATTCTCCTCAAACTTGGCCAGCAGCTGGGTGGCCATTGACTTCACCTTGTTATTGTTAGCCGCTGCAGTGGTGTCAACTCTACGCTCTGTCAGGGCTGTGGCTATGGAAGGTCGTTCATCACGCACCCCTCGCTGCAGCTCCTCCTGGGACACAAACACCAAAACATGCATTAGGAGCTGTGATACAACTCACTATATTATTTATAAGATACTGTGATTATCCTATTACAATAATTTCTTTAATTACCTATCTCAAGATTTGATCACCACTGTTAATGCCTAGGCATCTTATTAATATCAACATTAATATCAATTAATATCTGTCTGTTTTTTGTACGTATCTGTGATCAAACTAATTTTATAGTACTAATTTTATATTAGTGATTTCAAGCATTTGAATGGACTGTGTGTGCTTACATCTTCGGACTGGCCAGCCTGACTTGTCTTTCTCCTCTTCCCTACTCCGTCCATCTCCTTCTCCTTCTTATCCTGTCAAAGAGCACAGCTGTGATCAGACACTAGATAAGAAACCATTTGCGCTGTTAAAGTAGGCACGTAATAGCATGTTGACACATTCATTTTTAAAGCTCACTTTTTTTTTTACCGTATTTGACCCTTCAAAACATCCATAGTTCCTGCCTGATGTCCAGCTGTTCTCGCCCTGTTGCTATGCTACTGTAGCCCTCTTGTTCAAACACAGCTTTTAAACGCCAAATTCCATTGGAGGCTCTCTTGATAAGTCATTTCCAAGTACAGCAACGGTGATTTTTTATAACTGAAGTATATCCAGCCTAAAACACAGCACTAATGCCAGCAATGCCAAAAATGGAGATACAAGGTTTTGTTCTGAGAGTATATCCTATATATCATATGGTCATACACTCATTGGTAGGAACATGTGGCCACTGTTATTTCTAAGGGACACTGGTGATAAAAATCAGAAACTGCAGTCACATGACTAAAATAATGTTACTGAATTATCAAAAGTAATAAATACATTTTGAGCAAGCAAATTTTGTTCATTCTTATAGCTACAAAAATGCACTGCTTTTTAAACAGAAAAAAGTCCCGGTTTAGGCTCAAATTTGAGCAAATAAGACAGAAGTAATTAATCATGATAAACGAAACAAAATAATGTGAATAATCGTTATTAACTACACAAAATAACTTGATAAATCATGATTAATTATTTTAATTGTTTGACAGCCCTAGAAATAATATGAATGAATACAGCAGTGATGTGGTCTAAGCAGCAGAGTACTAACAGTACCTTTGGATTGCGTTTCCTTGAGATGTTGATGCTCTGGCCCAGCTTGCTGAGGAAGGAGATGGGTGACTTTGTGCTGGCTATCAGCGCAGCTTTCTCCTCTGGACTCAGGTTGTGGTTTTCTGGAACACAGTGAAACCATTCCAAAGGGAGTTATAGACAGTTTGTGAGGTTTGTGAGGAATGAACTGACATATCAGTCACTACTCATCAAAACTATTATATACAACTAGGATCAAGTTTTTGACGTTTTCTTGTTTTTAGTCATGGCTGTGTTTTATTCAGTGGAATAGCCCTCGAAAAACTGGCACTGTAGATGTTTCAAATGGCTGAGGCTAGTTATGGATAGCCTTTATGATAGTGCCATAAACAGAGCGACACAGAGCGACACAGCCTTAACCAATGATCTCAGTTGGATCAGGCTTTTTGTAGCCAACACCGACTCACTGGCATTTGTCCTCATTGGCTAAAGCCTATCTTACAATCGTAACAGGACATCCCTCCCTATACACCACTCCTCTTCTCAACATTACTACTCACCACCAGGAGGCACAGTGTCCTTGAACATCTCATAGAACTGGGTGAGGTACATGACCATGGAGAGTTTGTCTGGCTCCACCACAACGGACATCTCCTTCCCTGTCATAATGGGCGATATTCCAAACTCCTTCTCAGCCACGTCAAATGCCAACTGGTTATTCTTCTCCACATCCTTCTCATCCAGGGATTCAAAGTCACTATGGATTTTAAACACAGATAAACACACAGTGATGGACTTCAGTGACTATCAGCAACAACACGGTGACCTTTGGCTCTGCTCTGGACAACCTAAAGGTCAAAAGTGAGTAATGTTACCTCATAAGTAAACTAAAAATAGTTCCATGTAACTTAGACACAGTAGCATGGTCTAAATGCAGAGTCAATATTTACAATAACAACCCGAAGAGCTGCTTGCTGTGGGTGAAAGGGGATCAAATTATATTATATCCATCCTATTCCATTAATACTCCCCTACAACACTGCAAGAGCTAACAGACTAAAACGGGCACCACAAAGCTGGGCCTGGTAAAGGTCACTCTCAACATTTACTCTAATGGAGAGTCAGGATAATGCTAATGTGCGTCTTAGAGGTAATGGGTTTATCAGCTGCTCAGAGGGAGACAGAGAGTGAGAGAGTGATCTGTTTATGAGGACCTACTGGGATCTGCTCTCATTTTAACGACCAGCAAAGTAACATGGCTCAGAAGTTAAACAGCAACTGCTTTAACTGCGTTAACATTTTTCCAGATTTCAGGGACATTTCGCGTTCTTTCGAAATTATCTGAGTAATGATTGATTTTCAATGTTATGATTTTCAATTACGTGAGGATACAAATACAAGGTTCAATGACACAAAACATAATTTTACTAAAATGCCTTTTCATGTTCAAAGTGCCTTCCTTGGTTAGAGCAGGTTTTGCCTAAATAATAAGCACAACATAGCAGTGGTCAATATGTCATTTGCAAATAAATGGAAAAACGCAGTTATAATTATTCTCCGAATTTGAAATTATAGCCGATAATTACAACCGGTAACTTGGCATACTATTTTTAGCTTACACATGGGCTGAGGCATGTGTAGCAGCAAGTGTAGTCAACCATGGTGGGAATTTTTCTTCTTCTAGACTCCACAGCAGCTTCTACCGGCCATTACCAGCCATTTCCTGCAGAGTAATTACACCAACTTTCATTACGAACAATTTTTCAGTTAGTTAGATATTTCGTTTTGAAATATTTCAGCCTTTGATTTACATGAAATAGCGATACACATTTAAATACCTTTTTATACAATAAATTTCAGATACAGATGACAGGATTTCTGTTTACGTTGATAGCAGCGATGATATGGAGGCACGTACAATATGTGAACATCTAAAATTTTTGTTTAGTTATGTGCATTCATAATTAATTTAGTTGTATGGAAAGTCGGGTTCATGTTCAAACAGACCACGTATCTCGTTCAGGGCTGATGGCACGAAGAGGTACTTCAGTATTTAATATGAAGTTAATTCATTTAAATTTATAGAGATAAAATTTAATATTTCTATGTATCAGATATACTTATTAACCTGTTATCTTTGTGTTGAGGGTTGTCTCAGATATGCTGTGGTAAGATGAATGACTGAGGACGCGATAAGCTTCTCTCTGAATGTCAAGAGCAGAGCCAAAAAAATTTACTTGCAGGTGACTATTTCCCTTTCTGTCCATGTTTATTGTTTTTTATATTTTTCACTAATTTATCTTCAGCTCAAAAATACAAGGTGACAAGCAAAGTCGGAGTCTTGGATGGTCGGAGCTACATGGGTATAATAATCCTGTATCAGGTTTATCACTGGGATAAGATTATCTTGAACATTGTTAGTTGTTTGAGTCAGTTAATTCCATATCCCTGCTTTTCAGAAGCTGTTATATCTCTTCTCATACTGCTGTGAATGGCTTCAGATAAGAGTGTCTACTAAGTAATGTAAAATATTGCAAAATGAGATGCAAACCATATAAATAAATAAGTAAATGAAAATAGTTGATTCAAATTAGCAGTTTATGCTATCCGTATCAGCCACAGACACAAATGGTTAATTACCAATATCATACTGCGCCCAGAAATTCCATATAGGTGCAATTCTATCAAATAATGATTTGACAGTTTTTCATTTTGCAAAATATAATTGAAGACATATTGAAAAACCTTTGGCCTACAAGTGGTTCATCTGAGTGCTGATGAGTGCTGACATCAAGCGTCTTTAGAACATAAAAGGCAAACCTCACAATTTTGAGGGATTTGGTAGCAAATTATTAGCTCACTGAAGTTGACACCACCACTTGAAAAGCATGCACCAGGGATTATATTCATAATCCTCATTTTTGGTATTATCCTGACTACAAAGCAAGCTTTTTCCCCCCAAAGCTACAGCATTTATACCTATAAAGGGCTTAAGTTAAAATTGTGCAGGAAGCAGTACTTCAGAAGAAAGGAGAGCTCACATGAGGTCCGGCCTGTAGCGGTGAATGAGTGCACAGAGAGCCAGGCCACTCTTCCAGGACATAGTGAGGTCAGACACACTGACCCCTCTGTAGCCCTCCGTCTGCCTCTGACACCAGTTCAGAAGCTTGCTAGAGCGTGCAATGGACTCTGTGGAAATAAAGCGCATCCCAATGAGCCACTATCCCGAGACAAGCTTCCATCTTTAATTAAATTACTGTTAGTCATACAATAAAGCTGGGAAAAAGGAACACCAAGGTGCATTTCATTCACTCATGAAAGGTTATTGGAAATTCCAGAGATCAAGAGTTCTGAGTTATGGTTAGAACTGACTTTTTTGTTCTCTATGTGTGAACCATCTGATGTTAGTTCATACAGTACATGGTTGTTTCAATTCCAAAGGAAAGCTGCAAAACACCATTCCATTATTGACCGAGTCACTAAACAGTCAATGGCAATATGCTTTAGATGAATCCCTGGAGAAAGAGCATCATGCATTTTGACTTTCATCATCCGCAAAGTTACCTTGCAACTGTTTCTCAAGCAGAAGTTCTAGGATGAAAATGATAAAGCATTAAGTTGCAAAATAATAGCCAGGACTGTCTTATTCAGTCAAAGAAATACACTACAATACAGTGCAATACGGTACAAGTAACTCTGCATTTTAGGAGGAAAAAAAAAAACACACCATTTCTTGTGATTTTGGGAGTCGAAGAATTGACCACATTCTCCATGTCAATACGAATTTCCCTGTTCTCTCCAGTGTCTATGAGATGCCGTACCTAAAAGGTGGAGGGGAAAGAAAAAGAATAGTCAGAGTTCACCCCGATTTTGGACTAATAAGTAGTTGCCAACTCTGAACCTGTTGTTTTCCCTGCTCTAAAACATCTGAGCAAAATAACGAGCCCTCTCTGAATTGAAGTGGGTTTTTTAGATCAGGAAAAACACTCAAATTTGAAGGACACAGGTACTTCATAGGTAAACATTAAGATATTTCATTCATTTGGTATGTTGAAACAGACACAATGCACCAGCAAAAGAGTAGTTAAAAATGCTATCTAAACTAAGATGACAGTAATTTTACTATTCAATACTTCATTTCTTGGGCATCACCAAACCCAGTGAAACAGAACAAACTATTATCAATTATTTTAGCTTACTCATGATATGCCCTGAAAAGTTTACTGTGACAAAATTTATCATACTAAGATTATATCATCTTCTTGCCCACCCCTACCACTCCCAGGACTAAGTCTGGGAACTAGAGATGGCATATCTGCATTGGTAGGCATCATTAATGAGCTGATATCAGCAGAAAATGCTGGATTTGACAGCAGTGGGGAGTCCGATCCAATTTCATAACAAATCTAGCCTGAAATAGCCCACACTCACATTGTATCATGTCATACTTTTTAGATGCTCATCTTAAGTGAAGTGAATATTTTAATGCTTTTAGTTTGTAATGAAAAAATATTGAATGTACGCATCCGTTATGAACCTTTTATCACAGCTGACGTTATCACATACCGCATTAACCGGGGGGGGGGTTAAACATTTTGTTGGTATAACAATATATTCTGAATGTCATTTTTTAAATAGAGGTGCAATATTTATTATATAAATATACGTTTGTATAAAATAGTAAAATGGCCACATAATGATGTTCACTCTTCATCATACAGAACTATTAGCAGTCAGGTTAAAACCCCTGCCACAGTGCACCTATACCAAGAGCTTTGGATCAGTACTGTACCAACATAAAAACTGTTATATACAGGGCTATATAATTTAATCATCATGTAAATGCCATGCTAGTCACTAAATAACAGCGCTCAATGTGGAAACGTTTATAAGTAGCTTCTGTTTATCAATAAACACCTGCGACGAGAATGATAGTTTCTCCAAGTGGGGAAATGAAATTTTCCATTTTCCATTCCAGTTTTCTCCATACTGGCCTCAGTACTAACACAGACTGTGGAGTCTACACTCAAACTGCGGACAAAAAAGCTTGCAGACAGACATTCTGGTAAAATTCTCTGCTTTGTATACTGTGGATATACAGTGAATCATTAGGTAAATATTTCAACTTAACATCAAATGCACACAAAGTTTATGTGTGCAAACATACAAGTATTTGTGAGACTGAGCATTTTTCCTTATCTAAGCAGGGTTGGACTTGAGTTTTCACCTGGTTTACATGCTGGGCTCAGTGTGAGAGCACAGTAAGAGTTTGTGAAAGCAGAGCTGATCTGCGTGTCTAAAGCCAGGGTTACACTTCATGACTTTTACTCTGATTTTAGCCAGACTCTCAGTCTGACTGAAGCCTTGAGTGCACTACTCGACTTTAAAGTCCCAGCAGATTATAAAAAACTGGGCGTCTCACACTATCCGAGTGGTTTCTGCAGATTTTTAGGGCGACTGAAATATTGGGGATTGCACACTAAACAACTTAGGATCACACACTACTCAACTTTTAAGTTGCTGCCGAACTGAACCAAACTCACCAAACTTGCACGAGCTCACATATTCTCCTGTTAATAAGAAATGCAGACAAACAAATGTGGAGTTGCTGCTGCTGTTGTTTTCGCTGACACAGTAAAGAAGCAGCAGGTTAGGGTTTTAACATACTTAAACATATTTAAGTGAGGGTAATGGATTTAAAATGTAATTAGTGTGTTTGTTTTTTGTTTTTTTTTAAATGTACATAGACGTGACTGTGCTCATGCCTTAAGCTCAGCTCATTAAAAAACTTCGCTACACACGCAAGTAACTTTTTGCCATTTTTCTTGAGGTGACTCACCTGGTTGGGTCTGAGTAGATGGAGGCTGATGTTGGGGTAGCGTGTGGTGGGATCCACAGTGTACTGACTGTAGTTCTTACTAACGTTCTCAGGGGTAGTTTGCGGGAGCAGTCGGTAGATACTCTCTCTAAGACACAAGGGAGCAGGGGTTACGGCTGCATGATTACAACCAAGCACAGGAGCACAGCTCAACTCCATTCAGCGCTGCTTTCATCCCATTAGTGCTGTCTCAGGATCTGCCCCAAGAGACTTAATGCTGGCAATTTACTTATAAAGCACTTAGTGCAGATATGCAGTGTGGGCATGATGAGGCAAAGTACCACAGGGCTAGCTTCAATTCTTGTATGTGTTTTACAAGCCCATGAGGAAAACACAAGCGTGGAGACATTGTAAATTTGACATAGATTGCATGAAGATCAATCTGCAGCACTTCTAGTAGGGACTGTCATGTAGAAGATCCAGCATTCACAACATGAACTTCTTAATGCAGTGAAGAGAGTGTCTCACCTTTCTGCTAGAACTTCCAGAGCAGAGGCACCCTGAGCCCAGCTCTTCACCATCCACGCAGAGTCTAAGGCTGCCAGGAAGCCACGAGCAATGCCAGTCCCCATCGGCCAGAATGGCTGTGAACACAGGAATATATTCTTAGTTAGAACACTGTGATAGATAAGGTTGCCTACTACACAATTTACACTACAATATTCCTTTAAAAATGTACTCAAGAAAATCGCATTTACACAATTTTCCCCTCATTCCCAGCGTTTTTGGATTATTGGATTATTGGATTACAACCATAAAATCGATAAGTAGAATTTAACATTTTTTTCTTTCCACATTATATGCATGACTGTTCTGCGACCTGATTCATTACTCAAAACTTAATTTATATATGTAGTCACTCTGGAGCTCTAGCATAGAATCAGAAATGGTATTTCTCATTCTTAATTGTATGTTAATGTTGTATGTCACAATTATGAAGCTCTACCATGTGTGTGCATGTGTGTGTGCGTTTCATGGATCAGCATCAGCGTATTAAAATACTATAAAAGTAACCATGAGCTGATGTCCCCCTCCCCCAATCCTGTCAAACTCAAACAGAGTCAGAAAGGCCTTGCAGTTTTGTCACCTCCTCTGGCATTAAGGGAAACTGTCCTAGATAAAATTAGGACTGCAACAACTAAAAAAACCACAGGCAGCGAATTTTTGTTATCGATTAGTTGTCATGATGGCATTTGTGCAACCCATTTACATCAGTTATAGACTATAGCACAAGGTTATGCATGACTCAGAAAATCAAACAATGTTGTACATTTCACTTTAACATCATCTGAAAAGAAGACTTCCTGTGAGATTCAAGTAAAACTGAGCCTACCAGGCAAGGGGATCTAGACAAACATTCACATCAGAAAATGGCAAAAGCTCAACATGGTGAGTAAACCCTATAATAACTGTAGTCACAAGTTAAAAACAGCAGGTTGTCTGCTTTTCAGCAAGCTCTGTTTCGGTTTAGCAAAATAAACATTGTTGGCTGAAGGCGTGAGCTGCATCTTCATCTAAACTGCACATCTAAATCATACTTATTCACTGCTAGTGTGCTAATGCACAAAGAGCTGCTCGTCCACACAGATATGCATATTGTTGTCAGAGTGTACATTCTCTGTGTTTTGGCCTCCCTCCAAAGAGTCAAGTAGAGTTAAACTACCTCCACAGCAGTATTTAAATTGCCATATAAGATTTTGGTCATTTAACAATGAATAAAATAGCATTTCTGACAGCAATTCCGAAGACATCTTGTGCCATTGTTGATCTTCCTGATTGACCTTGCCAGTGGAGGAATAATCCTTGTATTTTTAATTTGTTAAAAGGAACATTGTGCATGATGTGATTTTTTTTTAGTTATTGACAACCTACTGGCTGCAGTGCCTAATAACTGATTAATCAAAGCAATAATGGACTGATTAATTGATTATGGAAACCACAGTTTTTTGTAGCCCTAAACAAAACTGCAAAATAAGATATTGATCAAAGATATCCAAAGATATGTATCAAAACATTTGTCCTGATTTATCAATTTTTCAAAACGGCTTATCTTCCCAGCCCTTCTACTATACATAAAGTGGTCAAAGCTAATTGGTGGGGTATGATCTCCTATTATGCGTTAGCAACATCTGTGAATGCTGCATAGTACATGGACGTCTCATACGCCTCCTCTCACCTCTAGAAGGCTGTCTCCCACCAGCGCTACCAGTAACTGGTGGCCGTTGCGCTGGCGGACAAGCGCTGCATTCTCTGAGGCGTACATGCAGGTGAAGTCAAACATGGCCACATCAGGCTGCCCATAATGGTTGATGGCAAAGTCCAGCGTGGGCAGCTGGTGATTGGTGGAGAAGTCGGCTGCCTCTCTGGCATAGGACAGCAGAGCTGCTTGGTCCACGTTAGCCCTGGACAGAAGCATCTCTGTGTCCACATAGTCCTGAAGGACACACAAGGGAAAACAACTTCAAATGCATTCTGAAAAGACAATTCTACTCTAGTCATGATGTTACAGTGAAAGTCAGTCAACCATGAAACAACACATTGCTTTTGAGGCCAGTGTAATTGCAGAAATAAGCAGTGGGTCCATTCTGTTCTAAAATCAAAGTCTGCTGTGTTTAGACGAAGGTCATGAGAAGCGTATAATTCAGCAGCGAGAGGCAAAAGGAGAAGTAATGGAGGATGTGAGCTGTTTTTCTGATTCATGCTGCTATAACTGGCTCTGCTCTGCTGCCAACAGTGTCAGCTGTACCATTACAGGAGAAAGGCCCTGTCTAGCACCCTAAACGCCGACTAACCTTCTCCTGAAGACTAGACACACCAACTAACTAGTTCTCACTCATGTTACAGCCACTCTCATTGCTAAACCAGACTGCTCACACATTTTAATATATTTCTTAACGTACTAAATCTGCATTGTATTTTACTGCATTTACTCAATATTCCATTGGCTAAACAAATGTTCCTGGGTTCGTTATGAGTACAGCCATAATGATAGAATCGGGCCATACCGTCAACATGCGGTTTTACTGGTATCTGCAAAAAATACTGCTGGTAATGTGCTAATTACACACTGAAAAACATTGATTCACGATCTCTAGATGATAGAACAAAACCTTATAACAGCAATACAAGCTGAATTGCTGAATTTGAATACAAAACTATCAATATCATCAATATCAGTATTATAAAATTTTCAAAATATATCCAAACCTAACCTTTAGCAAAGGAATTACATGTTACACAATACAAAAAACTTTGGTTAAGAACACAACTAGTGAAAAATAAGAAAACGAGATGATAAACAGAATTCAAGCAAGGAATTCTGGGTAGCCCCACCCCAGCTACAGTGTTTAACTTAAACAGCTGAAACTCAGTCATAAATAATATAAAGTGCAAAAACTGAGAATGGACAAAAACAACTGTTAGTAAAGCAGTGTTTAACTAAATCTAACTGAGAATAAAAAATATGAAATACAAATATCTAAAAAAAAACTTTGAGGCCGCGATTGCCATCACATGTGGACATGTACACTGCTCAGATTCTGAGAAGAAATGTAAAAATATCTACCATATATGCACTGCCACTTTGTCTAAAATATGAACTGTGGTACAAGTCTAAAGATTTATAAAGCGTTTGAAAAGTTGGTTGAAACACAAGTTCACAGAGCAGTGGCTAGGGACCTTAGACTGCCATGTCTGCGATTGGTCTAAGGACCAATTTTGTTGAAGCCAATGTTTGTTGAAGCCAAACATTTACACTGCCTCTTTACTGCATCGTAATTAATTTGCACAGCACTGAAAAAATCTCAACTCGATTTGTCGCTTGTAATTTGTCGCTAAATCAAAGTCACAAATAACCTGCTCCCACTGGAAATGACAGGTCACCATTCACTCTGTTGCCTGCTAATGTGAACTCCGGGCAAGAGGCGTATGTATGTATATCTAGTGTGAAGCTGATGACTTTAAAACTTATTACTAGTATAATGTACTTATGCTGTTTGTGAGAGATCGTAGCTTAGGGAGAGGACATATCAATGGTTTACCCATAAGTACATTAGACTCTCTCTCTTTCTCTCTCATCATGTACGTCTTTTCTCCCTCACATACGCCTCTTGCCCTGAGTTCACATTAGCAGGCAACAGAGTGATTGGTGACCAGTCATTTCCAATACATATAAAGGTAAACCATTGATATACACATATACACATACTCAAAAACACCTTTCATTCTACCGCAAATATGCAACACTATCTGAGAGAGACACATGGCTGATAGAGGGATCTGAGTCCTAGACCCAGAGACTAACAGAGAAAGAGACAGACTGACACTCAGAGCAGACAGACTATGCTCTGAGGAGCTCTTTGATCACTCACGTGCAGAATGACGCCCTTGTCCAGCAGACTCTGCTTTTTGGCGGTCATTACAAAGTAGTGTGTGTCATCCTTATAGTAGACAATGTTTTCCAGATCAATCCCTGGTGAGGCAAAAACCAACAGAGGGTGAGAAAGACTGAGTGAGAGAGTGAGACTGCAGAGTAATTCACAGAAAAAAGAGAAACATTGATAAATACACAAGTGAAATTTAAGAAAAAGAGAGAGAACTTCATTAGTTTCCTCTCGCAGAGATAATGATTCCCTATTAGTGCAGCCAAAGCAACCGGTTCTCTCTCCCTGTCTGTCTCTGCTGCTCTTCATTAGACAGTGAGGCCAACAGCAGCAATTACACGAGTGGCAAAACAAACGCAAAGGCTCTTTAGACACTGCCAACTCAGCACAAAGCCTTCCGAGCCAGGACAGGGGCAGACTGGCACGCAACTGCTGTTAACTGCAGCGACGCAGAAACTCTATCCAAGATTACACATTGGTTTTATTTGTTTAGAAAGAAAAAATGAACAAAAGCAGCTGTGAGTTTTCAATGTTTTAGACAGTTCTTTTTAACCCCTTAAACAGCAAGAGCCTGTATGGAACTTCATTTAGACATTATGCACTCTAATAACTGCATACCATATTAGTTTTGCAGGAATTTACTAATATTTGGTAATACTTACTGAATGCTAAGTCTTCAGATTAAAGGAATACTCCCGCAAATGAATTGCTAGTAACACTCAACCATGGTAAGAAATATTCAACTTTTCTCTTTATTCCTCAAGATTATAACGGTGAGTCTGAAGGATTTTTCAGTGAGATTTCAATCAGGAGACTGGCAAGACCATGCAAGCACTGTCCCCTTCCTTTTTGGAAACCAGTCATAAGTTATTGTGGCTGTATTTGTTGCAATGTCCATCTTCTTCCCAGATTCAGTTTATTGACTGCTGTAATTAAATTCTCCTCTGCTGTGTCCTGGCACACTGCTCTGTTCATGTTCCTTCAATAAAGTGTGATGCCTGAGTACTGTCTGCAGAGAAGAAGCCCCATATCATAATGCTGCCACCACCATACTTTACTGGGGGTATGGTGATCCTGGGATCATATACGCAACTATTCTTTCTCCAAATATGCCGAGCAGAATTACTACCAAAGGATTTCATTTCTATTCCTGTTCTGTCTGACCAGAGTACACTGTTCCAAAACAGTTCAGATTTGTCTAACAGACTGTGTGTAAATTGTAGAAGCACATCTCTGGGCTTCTTTTTTTGCAGAGGAGTTCTGCGCAGAGTATAGGAACAGAAATGTTTACAGTGCAGTTCATTGTTTTTTGTTCTATGTGTAACTGTTGTGCTTGCTGATTTCAGGTCACCCTACAGCTCTTTGCGAGTGATTGCTGGCTTCTCTTTTACTTTCCTCATCACTGAGAACATGTTGTGAAATTTTGCATGGCGAACTGTCCAGAGATGATTAGTTGTGGTTTCATGAACTTCTCACTTGCATATTAATAAACCAATTGTACTGACCAATGTTTAAGGTCTTCGCTATGGCTCTGAGACACTGGAGTGTTGTTTGATAATGCTGTCCATGAGAACTTTAGGAAGCTCCTTAACCTTCTTCATAATTACTACTTGTGTGAAATCTTCCTAACCAATGCTAATGTGGCAATGTCTTTAATAACTACACAAGGTGCAATTTTAACAAGACCTTTTTGCTTTAAAACCTAGATTTTAACGTAACTTCATAAATATGTACACACACATTTATTTTACAATATGTCTGAATGCTTTTGTTAAACATATCTGTTTATGTTATGAATACTTCATATTGAAAAGCACAAAGTGAAAATACGATAAAGAGGACCGATGTGAAGTGGATGTGCGCACTGTAAGTATATTAGATAGCAAACAAAACAGCCATTGGGCCCCCTGTTCGTTTCTAAGTACAGAAAATACTGTCCATGTGAAATTGACCATATGTGACAGATTTAGCAGATAGAGACTGCAACAGATGCAGCAGACAGAAATTAGCTTGAAAAACACTGGAGTATTCCTTTAATAATTCCTCTGATAACTGAATAAAGGAGGAAATTAACACCCCACAGCTAAGGGTGCTAACATTGCTATAGCATCACATTACAAACATGGCTATACCTGTGGCTTCCCTAAGGTCCTGAAAGAACTTCTGGTTGAAGATGAAGGCCACTCCGCTGATTTCTTCTACCTTAGCCTCTGCTGTAGTGTTGCGGTTGATGAAGTTGGCCGTGATGGCGATGGCCAGTTTGCCCCTGAATTCTTTCCTTCTAAAACCTAGATAGAAAATAAAGTGAGGAGTCAGATTTAGACACAGATTTAGACACAGAGCCAGTTCCACAAAGCCTCTTTATTTCTATAATACTCATTTTCTAGCAGACTGAACATCAGAGAGAGATTCAGATAACATTTCCCCAACTGAGTCCCCCTTGTTAGCTGTTCTGCGATAGGAAAAGTGCCCTCCATTGTACTTCAGAATTTAAGAACAGGAGCCAAGCACCGCTGTGCCATTTAATTGCAAGAGCATTAATTCTCAAATGACAAAACCTGCTAAACAAGTCAAGAAAGTCCTGAATCTGTTAAAAGCCTTTTTTGTTAAGAGGCCAACATAAATAATCAGTAAAGTACTGACCAACACATACAGCTGATCAGCAGCTAAGCTGTGTGATTATGCACAAAAACCAAGCTAATAGAACCATGATCCGTACTAAGACTAAGCTCCAGATAAGGAACCTTTAATAAGAGAAGATTTCACAGAAGATTTTATCAAAAGGGTCTTTTCAATGTTTTGTTTACCTGATAATGTGTTTCTCCTCCCATCTGCCCCGATAATGACGTCAAACTCCAGCTCACTGACAGGATGTGTTCTGGGATGAACTTCAGCTCTCCAGCCTATCCCTGCAAAGAACACAGATCATATCACACAGATCAGGAAAGAATGGCACAACATTTAGCCAAAAAGTTCTTTTCTCTCAACAAACAGTAATAGAAACCACACAGTGCACTGTTTTAGGTGACATGTTGCTCTCATTTTTTTATATAATTTAACTAATAATAACTATTGCTTAATTAATTAGTGGGAAGAATAGCAAGTTTATCTCATAATAATTTTAATTAAATACAAACCGAAATGTAGTATCAACTGAACATTCAGTTCTCTGATTGTTTCAGTAAACTACAAGTGAGAAAAAATTCATTTAAAATAACACCATGCTTTTGTTACAGCCAGTGATAACTGTGACTTCTAAGGGGTTAAGTAAAAACAAATGCCCATTTTAATAAGCAAAGTGGCCATCATACTCTCGTTCTCCTGATCTTCTGGCGGCTCGATGAGGCCTTTGAACTCCACGTTGACATGGATCTCGATGCCCAGAATCAGAGCTACTTTCAGCAGCATGAGCTGTAACTGACGAATACCTGCAGAGAGCCAAGCCAGAGTGCAGAACCAAGTCAATATCCCTGTACTCTTCTCCTGTCTGCCCAGAAGTTTTCAGGAAGATTTATTTAGGTGCTATTGTGTGTGTCTCCATCTACTCACTGATATGGTCTATGGATCCTGCACAGAATTTTCCGTAGAACTTCTTGGCACCAAGTCCCCGAAGATCTTGAATAGTGAAGGGCCAAAGGTGGAGGACATTGTTGCGGGAGAAAGCGTCTCTCTTCTCCAACAGCACCACCTTGGCTCCCAGAAAACAAAGCTCGATAGCTGTGCGCAACCCACATGGTCCTGCTCCAATGATCAGACACTGCAGAACAATGCACAAAAGTATCCAATCCATTATGTTGTACAAATACATAAAAATGTCCATCATGGTGAGTTGTTTACTGTAAGAGAGACCAATAGCAGTATTTAAAATATGCACCGTCAACATAAAAACCTGCCAACTAAATCACTGCAATTCATTAAGAACATACTCAAATTTTAATTGAGTAATCGTGACGGCCGTACTATACTAATGCATCCACATCACTGGCAACGTGTGAACTACCTCTTGGGTTTTTCATACCTTAGAGTTGGCGCAGGCTCTGCCTTTCTTGTATTCCTTGTGGCTTGCACGTTTGTCTAGTTTGGCCCATAGTGCTTTGGCCTTCCAGTAGTTGAGCTTGGACTTGAGTTTGTGGTAGAAGACTCGGTACTCGCTGGGCTTGAGCTCCAGGAAATCACACAGCTCTTGAAAGGCCTTAAGGGTGCCTTTACAGGTGGTGGCCTGAACAAAGCGGTCAAACAGCACATGGGACTGATTGATCCCCTCTCCCGCTGCACTAACGCCTCCATCTCCCATGATCCCTCACCCCACGCAGGGGATTATGGGACTGCCCTTGGCCCACTTAGTCAGAGTCTGTGTTTTACAGGTTCAACTCCCTGCTTCAGACATCTTCATCCTGCAGACAAAGTGTGAGAAAAATAGCATTACTGATGAGTTTCACATTTTATTGATAACCAATACTGTTCTAAAGACTTTTATAAGCCAGAAACGGGTTTTAGAGAAGCTGCCAACCCCAAGGTGACCTTGAGGTGTCAGAAAAATGGACGAATCAGTCCCATATAAGAAGTTAGAGGTACCTTCCTGGACACTTGATTTTAATGAACAACACAGGAAACATTAATAATGTGGTGTGCTACAGAAATTACTCTCTTTATTTAGAAATGCATAAAGATTCTTCACCCTGACAGGGGCCACATCAGAAAGAGCAGCTAGACTAAATCAGAAACCTGTTTAAGTCCACTGAACTATAAACAGGAAGACTTTGACAAGTAGAATCCAGGATGGTTCGATGATAAATGACCATTGTACTTTCTTGACTCTGGAACATCAAATGAGTGTAATGTTTTTGCAGATTGTGCAAGATGCTACTTCAGCCATCTGGCTTTTTGTTACATTACTTAAATCCTCATAAATGTCATTACCTCATGAGACTGTCTTTATAAGAAGAAACAAAGGGATATCATTTGCGTAATCTTGAAGAACGTTTACAATGCCATAAACTAAGCCAGCAATTAGATTGATTCGGAATCAACAAAGCTGCTTTCGGAACATAGCTAACGTAAGACTAAAAGGCCAGACCATAGGATTTGTGGCAAGATGTGCAAAAGAGCACATAAAACTAGAGTATCAGTTAAGCCAATATCGGTCTGTTCTTATTCCAAGCACAAGGAAGGGTTCTGGGTGCCACATGAGCACTTACTCTTATCTGCCAGTGAGTGACCAAAGGAAATCCACTGACCAAGCAACAATCTGAACAGGAAGGTACGCTGTCAGAGACAACAGATGCACCAGATAAAGACTATACAAGGAGATCCATAGAGTTTAAAAAGGTAATTCTGCTTTCTTTATTTTATCTAACTTTAACTTCTACCAGGACTCAGTCTTTGTGGAAGCCATGCTTACATCACAGTAACATAAATCAAACTTAAGTCAAACCTTACTGAATCAGCTGGCTTATCACAAGAGAAGAAAAGGAAACAGTGACCACTGCACAAAGGTATTTCCCCAGCCCCAGAGAGACCATGAGACTTTAACTTTCACCATCAACATTCCACACTTATTACTTGCTACAAATACTAGATAAACATGATATAACCCACAAAATGTACTGCAGGCACCATATAAAACTTTTTAAAATCACACTTACTGGACACAAACAATGTAAACATACAGCAGGCATTCCACTGTTTGGGGTTAACAGCAATACAAATTATCGCTCATTGCTTTTTTGTGTTTCATAAATGGCTGATTCCAATATGCCTGTGCAGTGCCAGACAGGATTTTAGAGAGACATTACTTTTTAACATTTAACATCAACTGCTGCAGCATTCTCCGGTGAACAATGAACAGACCTGTCCAAACAGTGCAGTATATATGTCTGAAATGCTCAATTCTAACTACTACATAGAAGTAGGTGATAGGGCAAAAATATCCTATCATGATATGCAAAGATATTTTCATTACACACTATACACATCATGATATTCTGATACACAAACACAATGCGCTTATAGTGCCAAAAACTTATCAAAAACTCTGGAAACAATTATTTTTATTCAACACTTCACATAATGTGCTGCATAAAAAAACAATTAACAGGACTAATGATACTCTCTTTAGTAATAGAACAGTGTCCTTTAAGTACAGACGATATTTCCCATATGTACAGGCAATATGACAATGTTTATCATTGTCTTGACCAATTACATTGCAGAGTCAGAATATTTGTCTGAGCATACAGAGTATGTTGTCAGTACTTCTACAACATTCACTAACTGCATGTGTCACTACAAACTGAGCATAATTAGTCCCATTTAACTGAATTTGTGCAGTGCCGTATGTGAAACACTGAATAAATATCACTGTACTCAGTTATGTTAGTTTGGAGTATGATGACACTTTCCAAATGTGGCACTACTAGCTCTTTTTATGGTATCAAAACTAGCCCAAAAAAATAAATATTGTGACCCATCATGAAAATTTCTTGAAGTATCATGATATTAGATTTTTGCCATATCACTAACCACTACTCAGTAAAGCATATCTTTTAATCACAATAACAAAATTTAACATGATGACAAAAAAATACTGTCATATTGCCCAACTCTACTATTACATACAGGGTGCGAATACCTTTATTTAGAGAGCAGTTTCAGTTACTCTTTTAGGCAAGCTTTATATCCACAGTGCCAAATCTTTCAAGTTTAATTCCCTGAACATTTTCCCTTTCATTTGTGGAAGAAACCCAGCACTCTTCCGTCACTGTGAAACACAATATCTACAAGGGAATTAAAAAAAAGCAGGTGAAGGCCAAAGACAGTGACAACACTTTGTCCTACATTAATAACTCCACCTCCCTCCCTCACACACTCCCTCCCTCACACACTCACTCCCTCCCTCACTCCCTCCCTCACTCCCTCACTCACACACACTTAAGGTGTGGTAGGTTCCAAGGAAATCTCCACCCCATGGAAAGAGTGGTGGAGAGAATAATGAAGGGGTAAGCAGGTAGAGGGTTAGAGTGACTCTGCCTGACCAAGTGCCAACTCTCTTCGGCTGTACAAACACACTCGTTCCTCTACCTGACCCCTGTGCTCTGCAACTGCACAGCCAGCAGGGCCTCCACCCGCAGCCTAACCAGCCCTCAATAGTTTCATCCTACCATGTGGGTGGAAAAATGACCAAGGAGGACCACTTCTGTTGTTTCTGCCTACGGTCTGGGTTTTAGTTCTTCAAAACATGCTTTTATACATTAGTCTGACAGCTGTGGTTCTGCAAGCATGAGTAACAGCAGCTGAATATGGTTTTGTAGAGTGCAGGTGTATGGTGTGAAAACATTCATTCAGACATACAGCAGTTTCAGTTACTCTCAAAAATAAACAAAAATATTATTTCTGTCTGGAGAACAGCTGACAAGTGATAGACGCTTACAGCCAACCATCATGCAAACAGCACACCTAAAAATCATCATACACTTGCCACAAATCACATGACATTGTTATATATCATTAAACACACTTGCTTATATAGTTTGACACTGTATGACATACTACTATCTGTAAAAATGGATAAATAATATAAGACTATGTTGCATTACTAAAAATTAATTAGTAGGAGGAGCCAATTTAATTTTTATTTAATTATTTTTTCCCATTTGTACAGATAACAGTATTTAACACAGTGTCAGAAAATAAATCGAACAAGTCTACTTTAGATTACTAAACAACTAGTCATGGTTTGAGGCAAGAGTGATAATTTGGGAAAGGTTTACGTGTACAATGCTAACAGGTGGCTATAAGCTTCTATTACTTGTTAGCTCCATTAGTCTAGTAGCTCCAGTGCAAAACTAAAGAAGCAAACTTTGGACACTGATTCAGACTACATTTGAGGTGAGGGAAAAATCTGACCCTTCAAATCACCACTTTAACCCATCTAAACAGAGATCCTATGTTAGAGTGGGGAATATATGGCGAGTTAGTATTCTCGGGGGCAAAAAACAGAAGCAAGGTAACATCCTTGAGCTGTACATTCATGGGAAACTTGTGAACACGACAACACAACCACAACTAACTGGCAGTCTGCCACACTGTTTATTGTGTAAGCCTGAAGCCAGAAAATTTGAATAATCTGGTCTGCTTGGCCAAAACAGCCCTGGACCAGAAAATAATGACAGTTTAAATTGCAGTTACAACAGTGGTCAGTAAAAATCACCCAAATTGTTTAGACCTAGCTGATGTGATCTCTGAAAGGGTGAGCAAAATTTCTCAACCTCAATTTCTGTACATACCTTTTCCTGAGGCACGTACAGACATAAAATTAGGCAATGAGACAATACACTGTATCTGTCATAACAGGCAATCTACTAAAACCTAGGGATGCATGATGACTTTGGAATCACACTGGTATCGGTTTTGTTAAAATACATCGGCAAAGAACAGATAATTATGTTTGACCAATATTTCAAATCAATATTTGAGTATATGTTTTTAGTACTCCAGAAGAACAGGACGTCGCTGAACTATTGAGCTAAACTGTCTACTCTCATAAAATGAATACTCCCAATTTATAAATTTTAGAAATGTTTATGTACCTGCATTGGCAGATATGTACAAGAAAAATACTGGATATCATCATGGGTCCATAATTCTCCTTTTAGCGCATCTAGATGTGGGCAATATAGCAAAATATATCATTGTGATACTTCATGAAATCTTTACAATACACCATCATGATATTTATTTTTTTTTAAGACATCTGACTAATTGGAACGGAGAAAAAAAGAAGAAGTAGTATCAAAAACTGTAGAATCAAAAACTGTGAAACTGTGAAACAATAACCTTTATTCAATATTTGGCATTCTATGTTGCATTAAATCCAGTTAGATGGAACTAACATACGTTTTTTTTTTTTTATTCTGGTTCTATTAAGCACTTACATTATATACATTTATATATAATTATGCTTTTTATTATAATTATAATTTTGTTATTATACCTTATGTTCTGTAGGCAACATACCCTCACATACCCTGCTTGCACTTTGCCTTAGAAATGACCTTAGTGCTCATAAAGTACTAAGGATTCCAGATTACAGGCTTTGATCATTAGACACAGACCCACTCTGAACAGAGGTCACAATTATTAAGTGCGCTGTTTGGAGTGCCCTCTCACAGCGCTGATTCATGAGAACACAGGAAGCACCATGTCACCACAAAATCTCTCCAGCTGAGTTACAGTATCTGCCTGCTCCACAGCCCCCCGCACTGCCTGAGCACTTCCAGAACAGGGACCACTATAATTGGAAGCAGGTCTATATTCAGCTCTCTCCCTTCACACAGGAAGTGCTGTGCAGAGCATTTTTGCCATAGTGAGATGTGACATTACGGTGATATTACAT